ATAACACTTTATTAACTTGTTACCCCACTGTGAAGCCAGGCTACCAATGTTTTTGATATCCAGCGTTCCGTTATACTATCAAGTCTGCAAGCCTATACAATGTGCTCACATATCAAATAATTTATCGACACAATATTCGCTAAATGTCATTGCTTATTGGCCATCGAGGGAAAGTCTCCGAGCACAAAGAATCTTTGGCTTGGTTCAATAACTAGTCGATCTGGGGTTCAGAACGTACGTTGCTTAACCGCGGCATTGAGGCAGAGCCTTTCCTGGGACTTAAAGAAAGGGCACAGGGCATTAAAAAATACTTGATACACAGAAGAGGGTTTATATCGATGAATTTATAGTCATAGCTCTAGTGTATCTTCCTTGAAAGGGTATGACAGTTGATCTTTGCAGTCGAAGTACAAAATATTGGGTGGTTTCTGTTCAAAAATCCAACTGGGGGAGTTTTGAGGTTGAAACTGAAAAAGGCCATGATTGGCTGAATTATTAACTTTTTATTAGCTGGATCCTGGATCCAAGGGAAAGCAGCCAATGAGAGGCTGTTAAATAGCTAATTTTAGCAACCCAACAAACAAGCTTTCTTAATCTTATTTACTCGCTATTCCAGCCAATGAGCGTGAACGTGCCGTCAACAGAAGGTTGCTGTGCCATCTATGACGTAGACATGTTTATATAAATATCAAGCCGAGTGTCCCGAAAGCCAGAGCAGTGAAATCACTCGAAGTGGGAAAGACGGAAAGCTATCGGTTATAAGGATCTCCTACAGAGCTTTATGCTACCTGAGAGACACAATGCCGTCAACCAAACATCCAGGGGCTTCTGACCTCGAAATACTCAACGAGCCCGACTGGACGCGAACACATAGTCACCGTGTTGGGACTCGAGGTCGTGATGCTCGGTTCATGGGCGTAACCCACAGAGGGGATGAGTATCATGATGAGCTCGAGGAAGTAGATGAAAAAATCCAAGAGCTACGTGAGAAAGTAGCCAGGGGAGAACTGGTCACCGTTCGTGACATTATGATCGACCAAAAGGTTTTATAACAACACTCAGCTTTATGTCATGCTAGCACCGGGTTGACCTTGTTGGCATTTAATTGGGACTAATTATAGGCAGGATTTCCATTTGGAACGACCTGAGGTGCATCCTGACTACTGGCGATATGTTCTCCATACCACAGAGAGCTTCATTAAGTATGGCCAACCATGGCCTATAAACCGGAAGACGGAGTCCGAGGAAAAGGGAAAGGTGGCTGAGGCAGGCAAAAGAGAGCCAGAGAAAGAGAAGTTAAAACCTACATCGGAAGAAGAGGCTCTCTTAGAGTTCTTACGGCATGAACAACAGTACCGTTCGTCTATGCAGGTTAATGATGGGAAGGGGAGCTGTCCAATTCGTGATGAGACTCCTGAGAAAATTGATGAAACGGATCAGTTTTCTCCAGACAATTGGATTCCTCGTAGTGACAAATTGATACGCTTGACAGGCAAGCATCCGATGAATGCGGAACCCGACCTCACTACTCTTTTTGAAGCTGGAATTATTACCCCTTCCCCCATTCATTATGTCCGCAACCACGGAGCCGTTCCACATCTACTATGGGAGAACCATGAACTAGAGGTTACTACTGACAAACATGTGATTTATTCGATGGATAACCTTAAGCAGTCCTTCGAGAGTGTTAATATACCCGTCTTCCTGGCCTGTGACGGGAGTCGCAGAAAAGAACTGAATATGATCAAAAGAACTCGAGCGTTCAATTTCACCGGTGCCTCTGCGAGCTGTTCGTACTGGAAGGGAGTTCTCCTTCGCGATGTTCTATTGGACGCAGGGGTTGAAAATCTTATGAAGAAGAAACCCAATGAAAGGCTATGGGTAAACTATGAGGGAGCAGACGAACTTAGTGAAGGCAAGTATGCCACCTGTGTCCCACTTGAATATGTCATGGATCCTATCAATGATGTGATGCTTGCGTACGAAATGAATGATCATCCCATTCCACCGGATCATGGTTACCCTCTGCGATTAATACTCCCTGGTTGGGTGGGAGCACGATCTATCAAGTGGCTGGCCAAAGTATGGATAACTGAAAATGAGAATAATAGCCATTATCATATCTACGACAATAGGCAGCTTCCAAGTTTTATAACGGACACGGAATCCGAGATAGCACAATTGATGTACCATCATCCTAGCACTATATGTAACGAGCAGATGCTGAATTCTATCATCGTGAAACCAGCTCAGGGTGAAAAAATTGACCTAGTTGACGTCAAAAAGGGAACGATGTATAGGGTCATGGGGTTTGCCTACAGTGGAAGCGGAGACGAGATTGATAAGGTAGAGATTAGTCTAAACGGTGGAGAGACTTGGCTGTACTGTTCTCGCAAAGTGAGCCCCTTTCCCTCTTCTTTTATAGATATCAACAGCTAATATTCATAATTAAATAGTACCCGGATAACCCAATTCGACATGGCAAAAAGTTCTGGACCTGGTTGCACTGGCATATCGACTTAGACATAACTAAGCTTATCCGTGCTCAAAGTATCCTAGTTCGAGCATTTGATTCACACAAGAACACGCAACCTCGAGAGCCAGTGTGGAATATCGCAGGGTGAGCAAAGCAAATGTCCCTTCAGAACTCTTTGCTTCGTTTATTGTCATATATACTGACAGCTTGACAGAATGATGAACAATTGTTGGTATGAAGTGAAGCCGGAGATATTTGATAGCCCAGAAAATGAAGAAGCATATATTCTCTTCCGGCACCCTGTTGACGCAGGGAGTGGGACGAGTGGCTGGAGAAAACCGTCCACAGAGGAGCAGATGGAAGAGATTAAACGCAATGCGAGTTCGCCTGAGAAACAATTTACTCGACAAGAGATTGAAAAACATCATACGGAGACTGACTGTTGGATCGTTGTAAATGGTAATGTGTACGATGCCACGAAAGTCCTCAGCTGGCACCCAGGTGGTAAAGGAGCAATCATGGCTCATGCTGGGATTGTGCATTGGGATACGACGGAGGAATTCGGCAGCATACATGACAATTATGCCCAAGATAAGCTCAAGGGTATTTCCCCTCCCAACGACCGAGGTGTGTATTCCTAGGGCTCGCTTCTAATGGCATATAGAATGCATTCTAGGGAAGGTCACGCAGAAAGCAATGGATCATATGATGAAAGACACGGAACAGAAGAAAAATGAACGGCTGAAGTTGAGAGATAGAGACTCTAAGGTTGCCTTAGATAATCATAGGTATGACCTATCACACACCTACGTCGGGACCTTTTATATTAATAGTCAACCTTTAGGTGGGTTCAAGCCAGGCTTGTCTCGAAAAAGGCCCTCTCCGCAGATACTAGGAGGTATACGTTTAATCTTCCATCTCAAGCGACAGAGCTTGGTCTAGAAACTGGCCAGCACGTCCAAGTTGGGTTCCATTTCAAGGATAGCCTTGTTGTTCGCCCCTATACCCCTGTCCATCCTATCTTAAATGAGGAGTATGATGGGACATTTGACCTGGTTGTGAAGACGTACTTCCCAAATAAAGACCAGCCAGGTGGTACAATGAGTAACATCCTTGACTGTCTCCGTGACGGTGAAGAAATTGAAGTTAAGGGCCCGTCAGGCGAAATAAGGTATCACGGTAACGGCTGTTTCAGTGTCGATGGCAAAGAGTATAATTTCGACAACGTCTCCCTCATACTGGGCGGATCTGGGGTCACTCCTGGCTACCAGGTGATCACAAAAATCCTAAGAAACGGCAATGACAAGACGAAGATTAGAGTCATAGATGGAAATAAGACGGAAAATGATATCCTGCTACGACAAGATCTGGATGAGTTCTCTCAGAAACATGGAGATCAATTTGAAATCGTGCACGTCCTTTCTAATCCCAGCAGCGACTGGAAGGGGCTAAAAGGTCATGTCAACGACGACATCATCAGGAAGCATTCTTTTGAACCAGGTAAGAAGAACGTCTCTCTACTCTGCGGGCCGCCTGCAATGATACAGAAAGCTGTGTTGCCTGCTTTGACAAAATGGGGGTATAAAGAGGATGAGAATCTGTTTGGATTCTAGCCTTGTTGCTCGATATAGGATATAAATGCTCTCAGTACCTCGCATAATATCCAACTTCTGTGCAAGTGAGGTATCATTACATAGTTTCTCGGTTTCGGCAATATAACTATTGAGAAGGTATAATGACATAATTATCAACATCAACGTTAAAATCATCCGAGTAACCGCCAGTATGGCTTCATTCTGGCTTGACTACTGATTCTGGATAATCAGCTAGTTGGCCTGACTTCTCGTAGGCAGGTAGTCACACGAATTACTAGCGGAAGCCCCTGAGCTGCCCTGGAAACCAGCAGGGCAGTTAATCCCCTAGGACTCAACGCGTGGAAACGGAAACATGAAGCGAACGACCCTGGGGTTCCGAATTTTCAGGAAGCGCTGTTGGGGACGTATGTAGCAGATGTAGCCCATTCGTATAACATCGGGAAAGTTATTCGAAACATGCGCGTATCCTCTTCATGAGTTGGTTAACGATGTTTTTGCTGTTCTGCGATCTCCGTCGCACCTACGGCTCTTGGAAACCTTGTCACGTGTTGCGTATCCTCCCTAACTAATAGTTAGCTAACAAGTCCTTCAGGGCAAAGAGACATCGTGACATCGCCGGCCAGTGGATTACATGTTTGGATAACGGCGAGGTGTGATACTCAGCCCCGGTTTCGATCTTGCCGAGTCTATCTTGTACATTGCACAAGGCGGGCTTCGCAATCACGATCGATGCGGCTCACGCGACCACCATGAGGCTGTCCCGGTACTTCTACAGGAGGCTGCGCCGGCTCCCGGTCGCCATGGCCTTAGTGGCCATTCTATGGAGCTTTGCTGAAGTTCTCTGGGTCGAGCAGGCTCTCGTCTACCAGCTCCGGTCTGAGCCTGGTTCGCTGGGAGACGAGAAGATATACATCACTGGGATACATTGGAACAACGAAAAAATACTGAGGGAAGCATGGATACCTGCCCTTGTTGAATTGGTCCAGGCCATCGGTCGAGATAACGTCTTTGTCAGTCTTCATGAAAGCGGTAGCTGGGACGACTCAAAGGGCCAGCTACGTTATCTGGACGCAGTGCTTGCTCAAAATAATATCCCGAGAAGAATACTGCTCAATGATACAACGCATCTCGATGAAATTAGCAAGCCCCCTGCTAGCTCGGGCTGGATTGAAACTCCGACTGGCCAGACTGAGCTGCGTCGGATACCATACCTCGCCAACTTGCGCAACTCAGTCATGGAACCGCTGTATGAATTGAAGGAGGCTGGCATTGTTTTTGACAAAGTTCTATTCTTGAATGATGTGGTGTTTAATGTGAGGATCTCTCCTCCTATATCCGTTTCTTACCTACTAACGTACCTATAGACTTTGGATATCCGCAGACTGCTATCAACTAGAGGAGGTAGATTTGCAGCAGCATGTTCTCTTGACTTCTCAAAACCTCCAAAATTCTACGACACATTTGCTCTTCGGGATTCTGAAGGCCACGACCAGCTCATGCAAACATGGCCTTACTTTAGATCCCGGGTATCCCGACGGGCGATCAAGTATAGCGAACCTATCCCTGTAAAGAGTTGCTGGAATGGAGCAGGTTAGTGATTTCATCACCCAATGTAACAGTGTCTTGTGTGAAATCCAAGCTAATACTGCATTATTCAGTGGCGATGGACTCTTCTCCCTTTTACCAGAATCCTCCATTGAAATTCAGAGGTATCTCCGATGGCCTTGCAAAGTCACACCTTGAAGGATCGGAATGCTGCTTGATTCACGCAGATAACCCCTTGTCAGACAACAAGGGTGTATGGCTAAACCCAAACGTGCGGGTGGGATACAATATCCCTGCGTATACTGCAGTTAACCCAGAGAAAATGTCATGGCTTTCGACCTCTTCTATTCTTAGCGGTCTATGGAAAAACCGGATCTTGCGATGGTTCACAACTCCATGGTTTACAGAGTATACAGTTCGGAAACGACTATCCCAGTACCAAAGAGAAGGCCTTGGAGACACGGAGGCTGGCTCCTTCTGCCTTATTAATGAAATGCAAGTTCTTGTAGCCAACGGCTGGGCTCACCGATAGAAATCCGATATTAGAGACGGTAGCAGTATGCATCCAGACTGAAGGTGGTTGGTTTTGTCTTAACATTTTTCGCATTTAGGGCAGCATTTATACCCTGGAACCATGCTCAGCACCCTGCCCCGTTAATCAGGACTAGGCACGGAGGGAGGAGTTTTGTTTGAATTACAGGCCAAAATAGAGGTTTAGAGCAAAGTCGATTTCGGGCACCATTTTTCATTTGATGTGACTTCGTTTTTTTTTTTTTATGTTTTACTTTTTTTTTTCCCCCTGTTGGTAAGGGTAACTATGGATAACTAGTTAAGGAGGCGCGCTAGACTTAGTGGTGGAACAAGCGGATGCGCTGCTCAACAAAAACAATTCCAAGCTTCTCAGCAGTTTCGAACACTGGGCCGTCGTTCTGGCTGCCGCTCGGTGCGGCCATGTACTTGACGCCGGATCGGGCGGCGCGGAAAACATTGTCAATGAATGGGAACTACAGTTATACTCGTTAGCTTTCATTTCAAAACACGCAGAAAGGAAAGAGGGGCATACGAAAGCGTCAGAAGAGATGGCGACTTCAGTAAGCTTCTGCAGCCATGCCTCGCGCTCCTCCGAGGTAAAAGGAGCGGGAACCTCCTCAAACACACGCTCATAATCCGCCTTCTCGACGTCGGAGCGTGGTATCTGGCCGGAGCACAGCATATCAATTGCATTGCTCTTGTCTGCCCGCTTGACGCCAGCCTTCCATTTGATACCAAGTGTTCGCTCGTGGAATCTCATCCACCAGTTATCCGTCTTGTCGCCCGCCAGACGGGTGCAGTGAATTCGGCTCTGCTGGCCCGCACCTAGACCAACTACTTGTCCATTGACGGCATAGCAGACGGAGTTGGACTGCGTGTATTTCAACGCAATTGTCGCAACGGTCAGGTCTCTTAGTGCTCCCTCGGGTAGTGAGCTCATGTCCTTGGGCGTAACGATCTTGTTGAATGTGGTCTTTGGGGAGACGTTGGCATCATTTCGGCGCTGGGAGAGCTGCACACCGTAGACAGATCGGGTCTCTTCGTCGGGGGGAGTGTAGTTCTCGTCCATCTGCAGGAGAAGGTATTTGCCGCCCTTCTTCTTGGACAGAATCTCAAGGGCCTCGGGGAAGTATCCGGCGGCAACCACGCCGTCTGATACCTCACGAGAGATGATCTTTGCGGTAGGAACGTCAACCACATCAGACAGGGCAATGACATCTCCGAAGCTGGACATCCGGTCAGCACCTCGTGCACGAGCATATGCCTGTGCCAGACCTGATTCATCAATCCCCTGGATGTCATCGACCATGTATGCCTGTTTCTCCTTCTCATTCAGGGGTACTCCAATGGCAGCTCCCGCAGGCGAGACGTGTTTAAAGCTAGCTGCAGCAGGGTATCCAAGGGCCTGCTTCAACTCCTTGACCAGTGGCCAGGCATTCAAGCAGTCAAGCAAGTTGATGTATCCGGGTGCTCCGTTCAATACCTTAAACGGGAGTTTGCCATTCCTCATAAAGGCAGATGCAGGGGCCTGGTGGGGGTTGGCTCCGTAACGCAGCTGGATATACTGTGACCCCTCACCAGCATACTTCTTCCTGAAAAACCCAGAGATGGCCTCGTCGTAGTCAGCCGTATGCTCGAAGGCCTTCAGAGCATACAACTTTCGAGTTTCCTCGGTCACGCCGCCGCTGGCCAGCTCCTTCAAGAAGTTGTTATAGTCCGAAGGATCGCTTAGAATAGTCACGCGAGCATGGTTCTTTGCTGCTGCACGCAACAGAGTCACTCCTCCAATGTCAATCTCCTCTACTGCACCTTCAACGGTCACATCGGGCTTTGCGACAGTGTCCTTGAAAGGGTACAGGTTGCACACGACGAAGTCCACCTTCGCAATCTTCTGGTTGGCAAGGTCTTGCTTGTCGGATTCGATGTCGCGTGCCAGGATACCACCATGAACAGCTGGGTGGAGGGTCTTCACACGGCCACCCAGCATCTCTGGGGCTTTCGTTATCGACGAAACGTCACTACCAACAGCCCCAGTGTCAGATAAGGCTTTTTTTCACCTTCCATTTTCACCAGATGTAGACTCACTCAACGGCAATGCCAGCATCTCTGATCATCTTAGCCGTGCCTCCAGAAGCTACAATACGGACATTCTGCTCGACAAGGCCCTTGGCTAGGTCCAGCAGACCCGTCTTGTCGTATACAGATAGAATAGCTATGCGTGGAGCCAAAGTTGTGACTCTTAATTAGCTACATGTGCAAACCCGATCTGTCTCCTCGCCTTATCGTAACGGGTAAGAGGACTTACCTGACTTTTGCTCTGCCATTGTAACGAAGGACACGAAGATGGCCTTTCAATTGACTGGAACAGAAGAAGAGAGGAAGAGAGAAAAAAACCCTGGGATGGGATGATCTGACGAGATGTCGACGACCCCGCTAATATGCGCGCTTATTCCGCGAAGTTCTAAGTTTATTTTAGGTTTAAACAACTCGCAATTTGAATATCTTGGCGCGTAGTTGCTCCTCTGATTGGTGGCTCGGAGCCCCACACACGATGTCAATAACAACATCCCACCTGGAGTTATCGCAAATATAGCAATGCTGTTATGGATTGCTTGTACTGTCCTTATAGCAGGGTGTGAAGCAAGCTTATTATTAGGCTACTGGTTATTATATATCATTGGTGCTGAACACTTTAAACGAGAGTATCGGTGAGGAGAAAACATCTGAAAACCTTGAGTGGGAAGGAGTGTGGCCATATTTATCACCAGCATGGGCACTTGTCCATGGCATGTCTGGTGACAGGAAATAAGATATACCAGGTGGCATACTATCGACGTCACTAATGGTTGAAAACGCCTCCAAGGTTCTCCCAGCCTGTTTGTGATGGCCCCCATCGCCCACTCCAGGATTTGTGGTACATTGCATTGTTGGTCCCAAGCCCGAAGATATCCAAACGGCCACTTGCCCAGGAGCAGGTTGATGGGCCACTGCTGAAAACACCGCCAAGGGCTTCCCATCCACCCCATCGTGAGCCATCCCACCATTTGTGATACATCTGATTATCAGTTCCTGTGCCGAAAATATCTAGACGGTTTGCACCCCAAGCAACGGCAGATGGAGGGCTACTCAAAACACCTCCAAGATCCTCCCATCCTAGCTGAGATGGGCCCCAGGCTTGTCCGTCCCACCACTTATGGAAAAGTCCGTTGTTTGTTCCGATACCGAATATGTCGAGACGGTTCTCAGACCAAGAGACCACAACAGGATAGCTGTTGAATACTCCGCCAAGTGCCTCCCAGCCGGAAGCTGAAGGGCCCCATCTGGATCCGTCCCACCATTTGTGATACATTTGGTTGTCAGTTCCAATTCCAAATAGGTCAATTCGGTTAGCTCCCCAAGAGACAGCCGCAGGCTTGCTGACGAACACACCCCCGAGGTTTTCCCAACCGGTCTGAGATGGCCCCCAGGCTTGTCCGTTCCACGATTTATGATAGCAAGCATTGTCTGTTCCAAGTCCAAAGATGTCAAGGCGGTTTTCTCCCCATGAAATGGCAGTTGGCTCACTGCTGAATACTCCACCAAGGGCTTCATATCCAGTCTGTGAAGGGCCCCAGGCTTGTCCGTCCCAGTATTTATGGTACATTTGGTTATCGGTTCCGAGTCCGAATATGTCAATTCTATTCTCACCCCAGGAGACGGAAGTTGGCTCGGCAGAGAAAACACCGCCTAAATATTCCCATCCAGTGGTAGATGGACCCCAGGCGCCGTTCCACCATTTATGATATAAGCCATTGTTCGTCCCAAGGCCGAAGACATCAATTCTTCCTGATGACCAAGAGATGGCTGAAGCAGCAATCTGGTTCAGTAGTGGGAGAGCGTTCTCCGCAGCCTTTCCAAGACGCATCTTGATGGCTTTTTGCTATGACTCGTATACCCTTTCTGGATAGTTGGCAGTTATCTAAGATAATGTCAGAGCCCACCACAAGGACACTAGCCTATTAAGGTGGTATCAGGGTAGGGGATGAACTTGCTGGCAGGTGTATAAAGGTAATGCAGTCTTCCCTCAGGAGCTTGAAGCCTAGGAAAGGGATAACCTCAGTTGCGGGCAGCGATTGCAGTATTTAAGCCCCGCTGTGCTCCCTCGTTACAAGGAGGACCGGCCAGGTTGGTAATCTCGGGGTTACTTTTCAACTTTTCAGCCATCTTTCCCAAGGTGAGACTACGCCAGGGATTCTCCCTGTGCTGCCCGACAGATGCCTGAGGAGCCTTTGGATCCGGGGTCTAAGACGATAGGTTCATGCCTCTAGCAGTCTTCTTGCAGTTCATTCCTATCTGGCTTTGGATTTATCGCTTATTATCCCCTAAAAGAGTGATTGCTGCTGGCTCAACGTGCCTGAAGTCAAACTGAACGGTATAGCCGATGCATATATAGCGCAATGTGAGGGTATATATGCATTACAAGTCCATATGATATTGTCATCATCTAGATTTTTGAAATCTGTCTAGGCCCTCCTGTCTTCTGCCAGCAAATCTATCTTCTCCGGGTATCACAAAACTCATGTCACCCTGCTGCATGGAGAGGCTATTTTCTAGTGAGTAAATTGCTTACTAGGTGTTCTTTAGAAAAGTATATGTTTTCAATTGGAGCAGTATTTCCAAGATGAAGGCAGGTTTCCGCGGGGAGTTCTAACAAGTTATGTGACCCACAATCTTACCACTACCTCAAATAACTATTTTACCCTGCGGTTATAAAACTGGTATAACAACCAGAAACCCAGCTTGAGCTCCAGCCTGACACCAAGACACTCAGTACGAGTAAAACATGTTCAACTTCGGGTAGCCCTTACCCGCTGGGTTATTGGTAACAAAGAAAGGGGTGATAGCCACCATGCCATGATCTACAGACACCATGTTCGCCCAAGCTGCAGCTGCTACACTCACATATTACCAAGTGCCAACGATAAGCTTGTCGTACCGTGGAAGTACCCCGTTCGCCCGTTCTTTTTATTTCCCCGCTATTTGAATAACGGCCAACTGAATGTGATTATTCAACTCTTTAGCGAAACACATCAAATCAGAGATGCTTTTCCACCCCCGTCCCTGGCTGGAAAATGGATGGATGGGAGCATGTTATTTAGAGTGAGAATGACATGAAGTAAAAGGTAATTTGATTCCCTGGACTCGAAGGCCGAGTCTAATTGAAAGTAGTGTATATATTTCCCAGGACCTGGAAAGCATAATATCGTAACTCATCCATTATTACAGGGGGTGCCGAGCATACAGACTCCTTATAGCCAGGGCTGAACTCAATTATACTCTTTCAACCCCTCCTTTAATGTAACTATTTGTACTTGCACCCTCTCTGAAGGAGTCACAGCATCACAATACCGCCCAGAATCAAACACAGGATATATCAGCTGCTGTGGAACCTTGGACTGTCAGCTGAAGTCACATCACCTTCGCAGCCCCTGGAAGCGAAGAGGTGGAAGTACTCGGAGGGTTTGCTCGGCCTGCACCCAATGGCTCTTAGCTCCGTCGCATCATGGCTGATGAGTCCGGTGTTGCCGTGGGAAAGTAAACAACAAGACTGCGGTTATCTGCGAGTCTTTCAAATGAGGGTATGCTCAAGTGTGGCCTGCGCCGGCGATGATCCGCGTAGTTAGCGACTTTATATGTCGATTGCATAAACCAAACCAAGGGCAATGCGTTAGGCTTAGGTTGGATCCCGAACTCCCCGAACGTGAGCCATTCATGCGTGCAGTGTCAATCTGCCGCTGCCGGGAATATCGGAAGGGATGCAGCTGTATACTTAAGCGAATCCGCGAAGCGAGAGGTACAAGATTTCCCATCTCACATGGCCAATCAGCCTGTAAACTCTGGCTGGCACGGTTCAGCTAATCTGTGCTTCCTGGTCGATAAATGGTGGTGCAAATTTTCCATATTTTCTAACACCGAGTGTACACCAGTTATATGGGTACTATCTTCATTTTCAAAATGATATCGTGTATTGTTCCTTGGGCTTAGTAGGGTCTCGGGACGACTTGGGCTGTTTTCACTGCATCTTAACCTCGTCTGTTATTTACCCAGGTTCCTGAGGTTTGGCCCTTCATAGATTTATCACTCGACCTAGTATACAGAAAGCATACAACCTTACGATGAAGGCGTATTATGAATACGTTTTGAGTGATGTTATCGTCAGAGGGACCCAGAGCATGTCGCCTGATGGGGCTTCAGCCATCGAGTAGTTAGTTAAATTTGATTCCACCATGCTGCGGTCCAAAAAATAAAATAAAAATGAAGATTATCCAGGTTTATAAAATGCAGTAGTCCTCCTACAGCAAATTTATTGTCAGTATAAAACAACGAAATGGGCTTTCCTGAGTGGCTTCAATGCTTGCTGCTGTGTTATGATAGGGATCCGTCGAGCCAGTGCCAGTGCCCATTGCCAGTATGAGATCACCTACTATGCCGGAGGGCACCTGGACGAAATTGTCCAGTAGTTATCCTTCTGCCGGCCAGCTTAATTCCAGCCGTCTTCGGGTCTGAATCAGCAACATCGACATCAACAATTGACATCAAAATCGAGGTCGTCGACATGGTCAGAGTCTCTTCTCGAGTGTTATACAAGCTTAATTTTATTTATAGCGCGCCAAGACCGATCAAGCGCGAAGCCTCGAGCGCCCGAAGGATCTCCAAGCCTCGCTGGGCCTTTGGCTGACGATCGTTTGGGCGCTTGAAACCAGAAAAAGAGCAGAAAAGAAACACCACGAAGCCATCAGTGTGTGCGCAAGTGGGCGCGATACAGAGAGCAAAGGTTGCGAATTATTCCATTCTTTGTGTCGGAGTAGGGATCCTCGCTCTGGCTCGTTATATGACTACATACCAACCGCCTCCCTAACAACCGGACCAGGCAGCGACAAAAGCCCCGAAGCTGAATCTTGAATTCGTAATACGAATCGACAAAAGACCTGAACGCTGGCGACTCCTGCGACGAACTGGAGATATAGAAGTACGCGTCACGCTGGGAATGATGCGCTGAAGCGAGATTATTTATCTCCTTCTCCTCCCTACCGGATCTCCTGCCTCGCTCGCTCTCCCGAAGCAGCCGGCTCAATTCCCAGAAACATGACTGCAGCACATAACTCGACGCCGGAGACCCTCACGGCACCCCTCATGGCAGGCGAACGGTCTTCTCCTTCTCCTTCGCCTTCGCCTTCTCCCTCGTTGGGTTCGGTTCACCCGCCGTGGAGTCGACCGCATACCGGCTTAGGCAGAGACAGGAGACGGAGCTCTCTATTTGGTATGCCTTCCGCTACGTCAGATCCAACAGGCTTCCGTGATAGGGCGATCGACCGGATTGGAAGATCATACCAGCGGGTATCGGAAACATTTGGAAAGATGACCATACTACAGAAGATTGGGAGTGTAATTGCTGGACTTTGTGTGATTGCCCTTGGGCTAGGATTCATGGCCGTTACGGGCCAGATATTCGCATGGTTAGGCCCTGTTGCGAAAGATTGGGAGAATGCACCCCTGGCCTACTTTATTTTGTGGCTTTGTACATTCTTGATGTCTTTTCCTCCAATGGTGGGGTGGTCGACGGTTGGAACTGTGTCCGGCTTCATATTCGGTGTATGGAAAGGGTACGTATTTGCTCGTTTATCTACTATTTTCTGAGGACAGTTTATTGATCTAACACTGTTATTGTTATTATTACTACTTAATAGATGGGCAATATATGCATCTGCTACCGTAATCGGGTCAACATGCTCGTTTTATGTCTCTCGCACCGTCTTGTCCAAGTTTGTACAAAGACTTATGAAGCATGACAAACGATTTGCTGCTTTATCGTTGACCCTTAAGTATGATGGCTTAAAGCTATTATGCATGATTCGTTTATGTCCCTTGCCATACTCACTATGCAACGGCGCAGTTTCGACTTTCCCAACCGTGAGTCCGCTCATGTACGGCCTTGCAACGGCCATCATCTCACCAAAGTTTCTTGTCCCGACCTTTATTGGAAGTAGGCTCAGAATATTGTCGGAGGATGGGGGAGAAATGAGTACCGGCTCCAAGGCAGTCAACATTATTAGTATTCTTGTGAGCGTTGCAGCCGGTGTCTTCACAGGCTGGTACATCTACAAACGGTATGTGTTTCATATTTTTGTTCTCTTCAGCAAACCCAACTATTGCTAACAATTCCGCGGTTATTAGCACTCTTGCCCGTGCTAAACAGCTTGAGGCTGAGGAGCGCGCCAACCTCCGTGGTCCAACCCCCAATAATCGACCAACGACAGCTTCGCCAGGTGTGTTTTCCGATGATCCAAATGCTAGCTCCCTCGCAAGAGATGAAGAAGAGGCAGTTGGTGTTGACGATGCTGTAGCCATCGACATTGATGATGATAATGTTGCGCTCGATCCAAGTTATCACGATTTTACGGACAACGAGTCGGATATCTTTGCTGACGGAGACGGGGATGATAAAGATGAGACGTATAAGCTGCACCGCCATGTGGACTCGAGATAGAAACATATGGCCTCTTGTTGCTTCTCATGAAAAGATATCGTTAACTTGTATATGCCTTGATTTCTACGATGGTATTGCTACTGGTGTATAGATTCGACAGGAGTTACGAGGTAGAGAGTTGGATACTTAATTTATAGCCGGGTGGATTGAGGATAATAAATATCTGCACAATCTCCATCCAGGTCACTAATTCCATCCGTGCAGTTCTGTCGATGACTGTCTTCACGGCGCAGTTAATGCCTTCATGATCGCATGGAAAAAGTGACATTGATAAAGAGATTAGAATTAAGGTTTCTCCACCAAGGACGACATCGACCTTTTTTCTTGCTGCAAATCGACAAACCGCTACGTCGCAACACCAAAGCCGCTCTATGCCCCTGGCACCGCACCATGGACGACGCTCTGCATGTTCAGGATCCTGATGCGGATGAGCAGGATAGGGATGTGCCGGCTGAACCTGCGGACAGCATGGAAACAGCACCCGTGGCCGCATTGCCACGCCCATCAGGGGAGGACATCGCAGCCGGCGCAGATATCGCACCAAGGGGAAAAGAAGGGAGCCAGGACTCGAATGCATCAGACAGCAAGACTTCGTCGCTGTTCTCATCGATTCCTTCTTCATTATCTAGTTCTACCGGCGTCAGTGAGCTATCGAAGGAAACCGGGCCGGGGGGAAGTGAAGGAGACGGCCATGATGCGCCTCCCAGTGGATCGACGCCTTCGACATCAGTATCGTCGCTATTACATTCTGCTTGTTCTCCAGCACCAGATGCGCAGTTAAAACAAACCGCGCCAGCCTTTCCTTTATCCCTTGAGAGGGAGGCGACAGACTACGCTGCTCTATCACACAGGGTCAAGCCGAGGTCTTCCATACCTACACGCATCCCATCTGCCGTATATGGGCAGCAATGTGTGGAATCGGCATATATTTCTAGACTAAATCCATACGCTCTTCACAAGGGCGAGCAGGAGTTGCTGCAGGACCACTTGTGCCATATACATGTCACCGCATACCTCAATATTCGGAACGGTATATTACGTCTATGGTCACGCAACCCGATGCTCAGCGTCACCGAAGACGAGGCGCTAGGTTGTGCGAAGGATTCTCGATGGATGCCTCTCGCATCAGTTGCATATAACTGGCTTGTCCGTAATGGGTATATAAATTTCGGATGCATTGATATACCTAAATGCCCATCTCAGAAACGTGGGCGTCGGAAAGACGGTCCTACAATTGTGATAGTAGGAGCCGGTATGGCTGGATTGGGGTGTGCCAGGCAACTACAGGGGCTTTTTCAACATTACTATGGCGATTCAGTAGCCCCCAAGTTAATCCTGCTTGAAGGCCGGAAACGAATAGGCGGCAGAATATACTCTCATCCTTTACGAAGCTTAGAGGCGAACGAATTGCCACAGGGACTTCGCCCTACCGCAGAAATGGGAGCACATATTATCGTTGGATTTGACCATGGTAACCCCTTAGATCCGATCATACGCGCCCAGCTCGCCCTGCGCTACCACTTGCTCCGTGATATCTCAACAATTTATGACACAAATGGGCTTCCTGTCGATGAAATGAGAGATTCAATGACCGAAAAGCTATATAACGATATATTGGATAGATCAGGGGCATATCGTCATAAATCGGTCGTCACACCTACAGCCGAAGGAGATAGGGAGTTAATTGACTCTGGTAGAGACACATCTGCTGATGATGGGATTACAATAAGAGAGTATGAGGATGCAGCAACTTCCGGGATCACGGGGACACTGTTACCAGCCGCCAGACTACGACGAGGTGTTGGGCACAAGACGACAGATATCAAACCAGCAGCTGGCCCAGCTCTTTCAGAACTTCAACCTACAAAAGAGCATTCTGCCGCGACAACCTGTCAAGCAATGGGTTGGAAGTTACGCCAGGATGTTTCTCCTGCTGATTCTTTATCTCTCGATGAAATTGCCAATGCATCCAGCACACAGAATTTAGGCGCAGTGATGGATGATGCAATCAACCAGTACCAGAGGCTTCTCGACCTTACTCCCCAAGATATGAGATTACTCAACTGGCATTTTGCGAATCTCGAATACGCCAACGCTGCTAGTGTTGGGAAGCTCAGTCTCTCCGGCTGGGATCAAGATATGGGGAATGAGTTCGAAGGAGAACACGCTCAGGTTGTCGGTGGTTACCAGCAGTTACCACGAGGACTATGGTCTCTCCCGTCAAAGCTGGATGTCCGTACGAAAAAGATTGTGTCCAAAATATGGTACAACGCTGATTCGACATCGAATGAGAAAACTCGAGTTGAGTGTGAAGATGGAGAAACCATTTACGCTGACAAGGTGATATTTACGGCTCCCCTTGGTGTTCTGAAAGGGTCGTCTGTGGCTTTTAACCCGCCACTTCCGGAATGGAAAGCCAATGCGATCAAACGCCTTGGTTTCGGCTTGCTAAACAAAGTCATCCTTGTCTTTAAGGAGCCTTTCTGGGATATGCAAAGAGATATGTTTGGCCTGCTAAGAGAGCCAACCGTTGAAAACAGCATGTCTCAAGATGACTACCGTGCTAATCGGGGACAATTCTATCTTTTCTGGAACTGCATGGCGACTTGTGGATTACCCATGCTCATTGCCCTTATGGCAGGAGAATCAGCCCACGAAGCTGAAAAACTATCTGATCAGGAAATCATAAACGGAGTCACCGCACAGTTAAGGAATATCTTCAAAGACAAGACGGTTCCCGATCCCCTCGAGACTATCGTCACGAGATGGGGGCAGGATAGGTTTGCGCAGGGAAGCTACTCATATGTAGCGGCTGAGGCATTACCCGGCGATTACGATGCAATGGCCAAGTCAATTGGTAATCTATACTTCGCCGGCGAGGCAACTTGCGGAACTCACCCAGCAACTGTCCATGGGGCATTTCTCTCCGGCCTTCGCGCAGCTAGCGAAGTTATTGACTCATTCCTTGGCCCGATTGACATCCCATCCCCTCTTGTACCAGCAAAGAACAGAGCTTCAAATAACGCTTCCATGCCAACGACTCCAACCTCTGCCTCTCCGCAGAAGAAACGAAAGGCTGTGTCTGATCCTAACGGTCCAGCCGACGAATCACCCTCTGCGCCTCTTGCGCATGCATCTGAAGATGTATTACGAAAAGCATACGACGATGCTATGTGGGCAGCCATAATTTCCGAGTTAGGCCCTGCAGAACCTCGGCCACGCAAACTTGCGCTGAACCCTTTCCTCCTATATCAGAAAGATTACTGGTATATTTGCAAGACTGAATGTGACAATGCCAAGATCAAAGCTACAGGGAAAGAAAACGCAAAGGCTCCTCGGGATGAAATCCGACAAGCGCTTGGCCAAATGTGGCGTGATGCAAGCGATGAGATCAAGAAGCCGTATCTAGACCAGATGGAGGTTCATCGAAAAACGAATGAAGAGGACTTTGCAAAGTGGAAAGATAGGATAGTCGAATGGGAACGACGAACATATGAGATCAAGGATAAATGGTGTGCTGAGAATCCGTTTGAGATTTTTGCACAAAATATGCGGGATAACTTTCCTGCTAATGGGATACAGGATGGCAGGCAGAAGGTGAGGAGGTTGTGATGATTAGATGCAGCATTTCCTCTCTTGCTGTACATACCTTTCCGGCCTTTTCAACTAGTCAGCATTAATGGAGTTTTTCTACCGTGGCAAAAAGATATAGGAGTTACGAGCCTGGACATTGTTCACTGTGGGGGAACATGCACGGATGGAAACTGGGCGGAGCGTTTGATTTATTTGACCAAGTGTACATTATCTATTTATTTATTCTCCAAGTATTAATTAAATAATACGGAGCATTGCCATGGATATAATTATGGGGTCCTTGGGAAAATAGAATAGTAACACAGATCCTACGTGCTGTATTGAGGAATCCAGGTATTTTACAGATGCAAATGGCTCATTGGCGGGATGGACAATGCAGGATTTTGAATAACACAAGCATCTGTCTATAAAGAACAGGGATATCTACATAATAAGTGTGAAATCTAAAAGGAAATGTATCAATGCAATCATGTCATGAGGGCTTCAACGCAGAAAAGCACATTTAAAGCTGAGGGTTGGTATCTTCTTTGATAGCAGCTTCATGGGCAGCAGCAGGCTCTGCTTCACTCTCGAGTTCGGAGATGTACTTCTCAGCCTCAAGAGCTGCAATACAACCAGAACCTAAAGAATTACATATTAGCAACGGGTTTTTATGGTGAAAATTTGCTGGTGAACAAGTGAGAATGCATACCTGCACTGGTAATGGCCTGTCGGTATCGCTTGTCCTGGACGTCACCTGCAGCAAAGACACCTAGTACGCTGGTGAAGCTGGTTCCGGGCTTGGTAGCAATGTATCCCTCCGCATCACACTCAACCTGGTCCTTGACGATCTTGGTGGCGGGCTCATGGCCGACGGCATAGAAGAGACCGTTAGCAGGAACAACCTCCTCAGCGCCAGTAACGACGTTCTTGATCTTCAAGTGGGTCATCAGACCGCCATCCGCAGCTTCACCGGTAATCTCAGTGGCAACAGTGTTAAACTTGACCTCGACCTTGGCGTGGTTGAGAAGACGAGTGGCCATGGTCTTGGAGGCTCTGAGATGGTCCTTTCGGACGAGGACAGTGACGCTGCTGCCGTACTTGGTCAAGAACATGGCCTCCTCAGCGGCGGAGTCACCACCACCAATGACGAAGAGTGGCTTGTTACGGAAGATTGGAACGGCACCGTCGCAGACAGCACAGGCACTGACACCGTTCTGCCAGTACTTCTCCTCACCGGCCAGGTTCAGACGCTTAGCGTTGGCACCGGTAGCCATGATTATGGCATCGGCAGTGCGGGTAGGAGGGGCATCGGGACCATCAGCGTACTCCTTCCAGATCTTGAATGGACGAGAGGAGAGGTCAACTCTGGAGATGGTCTCGGTGATAATCTCAGTGCCGAATCGGGCAGACTGCTTGCGCATGTTGTCCATGAGCTCCGGGCCGGTGATACCCTCGGGGAAACCCGGGAAGTTCTCGACCTCGGTGGTGGTGGTGAGCTGACCGCCGGCAGCGGTGCCACCAGCAAGCATACCCTCGTACATAACCGGCTTCAACTCAGCTCTGGAGAGGTAGATGGCGGCGGTGTGTGCGGCAGGGCCGGAGCCGATGACTGTCGTTCGTTCATTAGTCCCATCCCGATTGAATTCCTATAAGCTGGGGAGAGGCGGGGGGATGTGTCCTAGCCCACTTACTGACGACCTTGGAGTGAGCCATTCTGCTTGATATTGGAGTTTTAAACGCGGAGGAAGGGTGGGAGGCGGATGTTCGCTGCTGGACGGAGGTTACGGCGGCCAAAGAGAGTCCAACGCTAGATTGGACTGAAGTGAAGGGGAATCTGCGAAAGAATGAGGGAAACAGGGTGGCGGTGGTGCTTTTAAAGGCTCTTCTAGCAGCGAGAAGACGAAGCGGTGGCCGCAGGGTTTGCGCGGTGGAGACTGTGAGAGGCAATCTGGACGCTGGCGAAGAAGACCGGGGCAGACACTAGCCGGGCAGGCTGACATTTGCGCTTCCGTAACCAGCGGCCGGCGAGCGCAATCGATGCTGGTGTTGACGGTCTTGAGTCTGCTGGAGCTCGCGGTCTTAGAAATTCGAACGTTCGAAATTACCAATCAAGAGAAAAAGAAACGCCGGATATTGTCGCAGGTCACGTGATATGGGTTTCAGCCCCTTGCAGATGGGGGCGATTAGGGGGCGATAGGGGGAAACATTAGGTTGTTATTTGAGACCAGAGAGGGAGGGAGAGACGGCGAATGGCAATGTGATTGGCAGACTACGGGCCAATAGGGGCCTCGGGAGTGCGAGAAAGACTGCGACGGGCCGAGGCGAGGTGCCAATCGGGGCCTGCCAAAATTCATCTTGGGATGCTATGGGTACTCTGTATGGCTGGAGAGATGCATAAATTCGATGAACGCCTCTAATGACAGATCCAGAAAAACTAAAACACGGATGAAACATGCTAGAGATACATAGACAGACTCCTGCCCCTCGTTTCCTCCCCATGATTCCTTATCTTTGCTAACCTGACTACCCGGCGGGCGAGATCCACTGCTGAGTAAGTGGCTGTGATCTTGTCTTGTTGTCTAGAACGGCAGATGATCTCGCCGGATTTCAAAGAATACCCAGCCATTTTTTCTTCCTTGGACGGTATGCTTCTATGCCCTCGTATCCATGCTCACCGCCATTAGCCGGGTCAATGGCAGCAGCATTGAAATAATGATGTTGTTTGCCCTGGCTCTGCTGTGGCGGTGGCTGGGGAAGCATTCTGGGGGACGATAGCTCGCCCGGCCGACCTTGGACCGCATATTGCGCGTGGCGTGGAGAGCCCCGGACATTGATATCGTCATCATATTCGTCCTCATAGTATCCTTGCCTACATTCCCGAGGATTGGGACGGCCGTAGTTGTGGTATGCATCGTTCTCGACCTGCTGCAGGTGCTGAGGCTGTTGCTGCTGCTGCTGCTGTTCGTCATTCGCCGCCTTTGCTGCTCCTACTACTGGCTCAGCACCGTCGATTTGTGCAACACTGCTGTTATTTTTGCGGTGCCCCAGTTTCCACCATTGCTTTTTCTCCACTTCAACGCTGGGTTCAAACTCCCCATCAAACGATAACGCCAGGATAAGAACATGGTAAGGCGTTGTGATCCCGGCCGGATCTTGGGGCTTGACCTCGCAGTTGAAGGTGATATGTAACCCGCCTTCAATATTAATAAAGTGGTGCTGATCTGGACCGCCCTTTGCTGCCTGTTTGATCTCTCGAATACTGAGATCAGTGCGGCGTCGCACAAATTTGTTTGGTAATGAAGAACTGTCGCCGTCTGCGTCGGCGTAGCTCGGGTTTTGTGGTAACTGGGCGTCACTGTATGTCTGCTCTGGTAACTGACTTACACTGTCCCTTCGTAATCGTGGCTCATCATAGCTCATACGCTGGGTAACCTGATCCTTCGGGATGGGATGGCTGATCTGCGGACGCTGAGCTTTAAGGGACAGCCGCCGCATAAGGCCATTAGCCGGTCTGTCACCGCGAGACATAGAAAGTGTTCTCCCTAGCCTTCTGGGACGCATATCGGCAGAAGATGCCGGAGAAGCTGGGGAAGTGGGTTCTGGCGGGGGTGTAGCGGGAGGAGTACATCCTACCGACGGCCCGTTAGTAATTAGAGGTGCTTATTTTTTTTTTTTTTTTTCATCTTTTTGTAAGCGTCTATAGTGACCAGCGAATAGCAACATACCTGGAGTGTATTCTCTGATAGAGCACCAGTTTCTTCGGGGTAGCAGTCGTTTGTTATTTCGCGGCCGTCCTTCAACATCATGCCAAAACATTGCTCGCATATCCTCAACCGTTTTGAGGTCCAAGGTATGCACCTTGTTGCGCTTGTTGAGGGTATCGGTCATGATTTCTGAGAGGGGAGCGTCCACTATCGGGGAAGATATTACATTTGGCATGTATCTGTAGTCCTTGTCCTTGGGGATCTGTAGGTTGGGATCTGAGTAGAACTGTCCAACAGCCGCAAGGTTGGCTCCGCCCCTGGAAAGAAAAGAAAAATTAGTATAGATAGTTTCTATAACGTGACAAACAAGTGATAAGTGGCGCATACCCTAATATTGTGACTCTCAACGATTTCTCGGCCGCAAGTTCTTGCAAATCTTCTATCAACCATTTCCGTTCAAGTTTATGTTGTTTTGAAGTCCATTGGTCGTCCATCTTCTCCGAAGTGTTTTCAATCTTAGTGCTTGCGTTGCGGAAGACACCGTTCCGCCCAAGAGCCTTTGCAGGGCCCTTGAGAACTCCCTCAATCAACGACTATTTCAACTGTTAGAATTATTCAGCCAGGCGAGAATTTAATGTGGTCCTTACAAGTCTCGGGAAAGCAACCGGAACTCCAACCAGTACTAGTAAATGTTTCATTTCTCCCTTCACAATCTGTTGGTGGCATCGATCCCAGATAAGGTCATAACTCTCATCAATCATAATATCCATTTTCTGTGTCATAACATTAGTATTGATACTGCATGTGACTCGAGACAACGGGAATCTTCTCCTACCGATCGTTCAGTGCGGCAATCAATTGCCAAAAGGCCTATTCTTTCACCCAAGCTCATGAGCAGATTTCTGCTCTTTTGCCGGATATAAGGTCCTTCGGCCGATCCAAGAAGCCAGCTTGGTTCATGCTCCTCCGTCTCCTCAATTGCAGTTTGATGCTGGAAGAGCAAATAATACTTGAATGCAACATTTCCTAGTCCCGAGAAAACAGGGGATTTCATCAATTCATCCGTAAACGAGCCGTAGCCGCTAATAATGTCGTTATCATCCCACATATTAACCATTGGAATTTGAGAGCATGCCATGCCAAACAGGCCCTGCGAAAACCAAGCTGCATAATTCTCAAGGTAGAATTCTTCCAGTTCTCCCTTAATGTCCAGGTTCAGGGGATATTCATGCTTTTCATTCTTCCCTTTCATTTCAATCCATTTTCGGAAATGGTCAGCTTCCACAGTAATGGCATTATTGTTGATTTGTGATCCTCCGCCAATCATGACGTGGAATGGACGCGACTGGTGTGCGTTCAGAGCATCCCGCCACATAGGGTCGGGGCCACTGTACTTGTCGGTATCAACGGACATACCAAATCCATTTCCGGTGTGGTATAAAATGTTCATTGCCTGGCCTCTGGCAGGCACCCAGAAACCTACCACGGAGCCATTATTGATACGGTATGCAACATGTTCCTCCTTGTCGCCAAGTTCGATTTCTAGGTTGAATCGCCAGAACGTGGTATCCCTACCAGGGTCTATGTATACCCGGCTAGCCTTGACCACCTTGTATTTCCCAACCATTTCTCCATCAGTCCCTTGGATCCTGGTATCAGGTGGGATTGATACACGACGACTAGCGGCATAGTCAATTTGGCTAGGAGACCGCTCAAATAGACCTTCCTCGGTTTCGTCATAGCAAAGATCCAGGCCTTCTTCTATATGATCCACAGGCTTGACATAAAGCAAATTACCGTTTCTACCTATTTTTCCTAGGCCGGCTATGGGGTCAACATATTCTGGTGCTAGAGGTGAGTCGTGGTCGCTTGGATCACTGGATGGGGGTGGTGGTATCAGCTCCTTCGGTTGAGAGAATATCCTCAAGGTCGGCGGGGTGTCATAGAACGATGCAGAGTCCTGGGTAACGATCATGATAGATCCTCGCCAAATCTCTTGCTCACAGGGACCATTCGGCAGATCTACTACTTCCTTGGTTGTGCCTGTGAATCGAAGGAGAGGCCCACACTTTAGATATAGAGGCGGGTTAAATGGCGTGTTTTCTAGGCCGCACAAGTTAGCATTCATAATATAAAAGATAAGATGGAATTAGCCGCATCCCGGAAACATACTCTTGAGTGTGACTCTAGGTAAGCCGCTCTCGACTCCTCTGTGGACATTTCTAGTTCCTCTGGTTCCCCGTCCTCTCCAATCCCTGTCCATATCCGGTACCCGGAGGTCAAAATCGGTCAAGCATAACCGTCCAACTACTGCATGCATCCATTCAGATACTGGCGGGGGTGTCGGCGGAGGAACCGCAAAGGAAACAGAAGCGTGCTTCTGCTTGCTCGGGCCATTCTTCGCATCTTCAGCCTGAGAAGCTTCTGAATCGATTGCTCCTGAGCAAGTTTCTCCCGCGGGGGGTTCAAACAGTTCTCGTGTCTGCTGTATTTGGTTGTCCTTCGGCAGTGGAGCTCCTGGAAGCTGGCCATGATGATTATCCGGGATTTGTGCGGGCTGATTCAAAGAAGTGGGTGAATTGTAACCCGGCGGAGGATGAGTTCTCTCATACTCGAATCCACCCGCTTGAGCATCGGAGACCTGGTCTGGGTCTGGCTTTTTCAGTTCCATCTGGGCGCTTTCACGGATCTTGTCCTTTTGCTTGGTGCTTAGGCTCCTCAGTAAGCCAGCTTCCTCAATATTTGAAGGTTTGAACGCATTCTCCTTATTCCTGGCGCTCTCTGGAGCAAGATGGGGTTTACCGCCCGCATCACGGCTGATGGTCTTGCCTTGGAGACCTGCCCGAGCTTCTCTCAGTAGCATCTCAGCCTCCTCGACTCTTGCGCGCTTTTCTTCCTTGCTTATATCATTTAGCGTGAGCTCAAGTTTTTTCAACGGCGAGCGTGCTGGTGCCCATTCCTTTGCTGTCTTCTTCTGTCTCGGAGCCATCTGCGAGTTTTGGCGCATCACAGGTGAGGCTTCGACACTGGCTTGTGAATGTGGCGGTGAGTGGATATTTGGAGATGCCGGATTTTGCTGTATCGACGGTGATTGCGAGTTTGCTTTCTGGTATGCGCTAATAGGGCTCATAAGCGGGTTCATAAGGGGGCTCTGTGCTCCGTTGGGCGAGACTGACTCGTACGGTAATTCATCTTGCCCACGCTCTTTAGCTCGGTGTGCAAATGACATAGATTGGGAAGGTTGGCCTCGAGAGTTTACTGGTGTACCATAATCATCTTGGGTCTGCGGCTGGTCTGGATAGCCACTCTGATGCATTGTCCCGTTTCTCCTCTGGGTTGGGCTGTAGTTCTGGGATTCATCATACGGTCTTGATGCTCTTCTGGAAGGCATTGTGCGGCGAGTGCTGTGAGATGTTGCTCTTCGGTGAAAGGTTTCAGTTCAATGCCTCGAGCAACATAGTATCTTCAACGTTAACCACGCCTTGGGCGTTGCGAGGGGGGAGGAGAGAAAGGTCGGTCTGGCGGAACGGGCAACTGATAGTCCAGGCAGGCAGGTTAGCTGAGAGAAACTCTTTCGAAGGCAATATTTATCAGCGAGAAAGTCGGAGGCTCACCTTATCCCGCAGTATGATATGGCTAGCCTGCCAGCGTCCTGAGAAGCAGCTCTGGCGTGTTTTGCAGCAGTTGTGCTCCTCCAGAGTGACAGACGGGAGCGGTTGTTTGTTAGATCTGCCAGAAAACTAGCAGTTAGCAGTCAACTAGTTAGTTACCGAGCTAACCTTGGTGACGACAGGCCGGGGACGTACCTGTGGTGAAGGAGACGCCAGCTAAGGACTCCAATGGACAGACGGGCGATTCAACAGCACAACGGCGAACGGCAGGATGGTGACAGCTGAGTTGCCTCGTCAATCGAGAGAAAAAGGCGATGCGAAGGGTGGTGGCCACGACGTCGGCGTTGCGACAGGCCTTGCGGTGGCTGGCGGCGCTTCCACGTCATTGGGCGCCCGGCCTCGACTCCCTGCATACACAGCATCCGCCGGCCAGGGATGGCTGGCAGTGCGCAAATAATGGTGCAGTTCGCATGTTGATACTCCAGGCGGCCTGTTGCCGTTGCCGTTGTATAGTCGGAGAAATCGTGCCTGCGCGGGCGTTGAAGGCGAGATCCACGGTTGAACAACGGCTTTGCCGGCCTTTCAAAGCTTGGTCGCTGGTCGTTTTGCCACTTAGCAGGCTTCTATATCTACAGGACTACGCTGCAACGACCCAAGACTGCGCGGTTGTCGAGCAGCTGAGTGCTGTAGGACGATATCGAGTGTCTCCAACAGTCACCTTGGCCAGCTGATGCAGCAGGTTGGAGGCTAAACGGGCCAATGCGAGCCGCCTTGCTTCATTCTTTGCATGAGATACCTGATAAACGTCATGCAGCAACAAGCCTTTGTGTTGTCAATTAAAGCACTATTATTGGTCGAGTAAGCTAGGTTATATGTATCGAGTCGAGTTGAATGTACATTGAATCGCATAGCTGCAGGTTCAGAAAGGGTCTTTGAAACTCGAATGCTCCCTAGAAGAAAGAAGAAATAATCAACCATAGAGTTAATATGTGCCGAAAGCAAAAAAATTAAAGTCATGCATAATGAACAGTACCTTCTATCTGGTGGTTATATAGCTAATGGTGGTTTGAGATACGGCTTGGGTGGAGATAACCATCGTGGGTATAACGGACTCAGCAGGTACCCTATGGTTCACCTATAGTTGGCATAGGGCGAAGAAGATTTGCAATACAGATGCCGATCACTACATCATAGTTAGACTAATAGGACAGAAAGCCTGCTTCGGACTAACTTACAAGGTCCATTGGAAGCTGGCGTCGGGGGCCCTGATAACCAAATCCATGCACCGAAGCTCTTCCTCTGTCAAAGGGATTGCCTTGGAAGTAGCTTCAAATAGGGGAGTGTTATAATGATCATTGCCGCACCTTATGGCTGCCATTTCATAGAACCGCGGATAGAATCCAGCATAGCCCCAGTCAAGCAGACATATCGACTCGTCTTTTTTCAGTACCATGTTCCGACGGCATAGATCCATATGGCAAAGAACAAGCGGGTAGGGCGTCAGGTCAACGGTCTCGTCAATTGGCTCAATCCGCTTGTTGACCCAGTCATTCACGTCTTCTAGGGACCGAAACTCCCTTTTGGCGCCACCATCCCCCCACAGAGTCCCTCGGGGTATGCCGCCGCCAACAGGGCCAGGCACACTTCCCCCGGCTATCTGCCCTAGGTGGGCGATTATTTTGATCAGCTTCCTTGTGATCTCACTGTCTGAGCCAATGTTGTTCCGAGTTTTCAGATTTTGGCCGGGTATATATTCCATGAAGAGGTAGCCGTTCAACTTGGCATCCAGAGATTCATGGTGCTGGAAATAGCGATACACTCTCGGGACCTGAACGATCTTGGGATCGAGGTGTTGATAGGCATATTCTTGAGTCGCCGCTTCGCCGGGAGAGACACCGGGGCCGTACTTGACGACGATATTACGAGTGATCCGGACAACAGGATCTCCCCAATTTGAATCATTGATTTTTCGGCTATGCTTCAGGCGGTGCGAAATACTGATGAGCCAGTCTTGAGGGGCACGCTGGATGAAGCTGGCCGGGAGGAACCACAGCAGCCACCCCACAACTATCATTATAGCAGCCGTAAACATATTATTATAAGCTTATAGGAACAAATGGAGACACCCGGAAACAAACAATAAATCAAATAAAAGGGAAAGTCGTGACTTCGTGGGTTTGGGCATCAGGGCAGAAACGAGGGGAAAAAAAAGTTTGTAGCATTTGGAACGGCGTTACAAACACACAAGCCGTAGACTCCTTTTCACCATTATAAACATAATCAACATATCCAGAAAAACAACCAACTATGCGCTCTCCTACCGAAGAATCGAGATGCCAACTGAGAAAGCAAGAAGTGTTTAGTTTTGGCTCGCGAAGCGTCAACTAGACAGATATTTATAGGCGGCTATTTTAAGCTTCTTGCCGCTCGGGAACCATGTTAATGAGCGAAAAGAGTCCGTCGTATAAAAAAAAAAGTCGCGCACGTCATTTACGTGGACAGCTTCCTAGATCTGGACGCCATTGATACATTGAACGGGCAAAGAATGTCGGGTCAGAGGGTATGACGAACTTCGGTCACTATCGCCATGAGATGACGGCATAGAGGGTGAGCATGCAGAGCAGCAAGGTAAAGAAGACGTACATATTTCTAGTCGCCTTCTGCACCTGTGCATTATAGCACTCTTCACAGCTCTTGAAGAACGATATGGAGTCGTTGGTCCTGGGAAAGGGAATGTCTGGGATTTCCTTGCCGAGAAACTTGCACAGTGGCTCCCATCCGTCCTCAACATCCCATTCCAGCAGCTGATCCTTAGGTACGAGACTCCGTACCCGCTCGCAGTGCTCCATCAAAACATTGATGGAATTTTCTTGAAAATCACCTCGGTAAAACCAGTTCAGGGTACCTCGATAATAACTTTGCTGGGCCCAGAAGAGCTCAGCATGGAAGAAACTTTTCAGCCAGAACATCCAGTCCTTTGAGTGCACGATAATCGTGTTCTTCACGCTCCTATGCCATGCTCTGACATCGCATCTTGTGTTCAGAATAACTTTTGCCTTGGGGTATGCTGCTATAAGCTCAGCAGCGAAGACCGCGGCAGCATGGTCCGTCATGGCGGCACAATGGCCCACCACTCGGTCAAAATCTGCAGCGGTAATAGAGAGCTGTGCCGAATTAGGATGGCTTGCATTGTGCTTCAGTCTCTGACGATGAAGGAGGTACCATGCTTTATCGTCTGGGGGATTCATAACAACGTCATATCCATGGTAGGTATGCACATAGCCAAGGTGTATTAATGCTGTCCGAAGGGACCAGGTGCCACTCCGAGAAGGCCCAACACATAGCACTTCCATCGGCCGTGTGCGAACACGGCATGGCGGATTCAAAGGGTAAAGTAAATTCTTTATTTCCTCCATTTCTAGGGGTGTAATCTGTATGTAAACGAACGTCTTCGAGACTATCAGATCTGAGATGCGCCTGGATTGGATAGCGATTATATAGGTTGGCTCTCAACTGCCAAGCAAACCGATTCAAGGAAAAGGGGAAGAAAGATGATAACTGGGATGGACGTACCCTCAGGCGCTTTATATATGGCCTGATAACCTCCACCAATATATACCCTCTTTCAGCCATGTATTCACATTGCTCAAAGAAATGGTGGACTTGCAGAGTGCTGCTTGATGTACCCCTGTACATCAACTGCCTCGCCGTGAATTGGACATTCTTAACGAGAGCAGGTCAGGTTAGCATTGTCATGACAGTGACACGGTCTGGTTTTGACTCAGATGGTTGGATCCCAGCACAAGAAGTTTGCATATAAACCCCGTCGCAACCCAGCTGACTTGAAGGATTGACTCGAGGGCTCGCTTGAATCACGGACTACATGAACACCTGCAGCCAGGAGTAATCCATCTCAATGGAAGAGAAAATGTGCCTGCCATGCAGGCAAAACACGAGGAGCCCCTCTCAGCCCACTCAAATCCCCAGATTGATCAAACTTCCCGGCCCTAAGCCTAACTAACCCCAGGCGGGCCAGACTTGAATGACCAGGTATGTTCGTTTGCTCAGAGAACTGAAAGAACGTATAGTGGCGTTGATTAGCGTGAATGTTGCACAGCGAAGATACAAGCGAACTGAGATGTGCGGAATGGCTGCATGATATCTGTGCCAGTGATGCTGCAATAAAGGCATTTTTGTTAATCCTTGGGCCTCTTTCTCTTCGATCGAAAAGAACAAAGAACTGCCTTGCTCTAGAACAGCCTCCAGTCAATGATACGTCCCACTACAAGTCGTCTTCTTTGCTCCTCTCTTCTCCAGACAACCTGAAAGATATGATATCTATTCCGGTATTTTCCACCAGCATATACGGAGTAACCGGGAGACTACGTGGTTTGAGCTTCTATGAAGACAAAGGACATAGGGACAATACGTCCCTTTATATAACCTTGGTAATGACCAGGGAATCGTCAACCTTCTCTTCCAAAAACAGAACAATGTCATCGATTTCGTCTGGAATCTTGTGCCAATGTCCAACTCGGGATACCATTTTCCATGTAACATTCATTTTGAGCTACTCTGACAGCAAATTGGACGTCCCTTTCTCCGTGGTGGACAAAGACCTTAGGATCCGCAGCGCCATGGCCGAGAAAGATTGGAACTTTGAGATGGTTTAACGTTAGCTGTACATGCTGTGTTCATGACTCAAACTCGTCTACCACAGTCTCCGGCAGAGGTGGAAGGTTGGGGATGTCACGTATATAATCCATGACTTGGTAGATAAGTGGTCGTGCTGCATCACCATCCTGCTCCCGTTCAACTCAGCGGTGGGAGGGCGAGGAGATCCGTTACTTGCTTCCCAAGCGGCAGCCATCCACTCATCCCAGAGAAACGAACGAGGACTCTGTCCCCCTGGCCCAAACCCACCCACCAAGCAGAGTAAACATCCCTGATGATTTCCCTGAAGGAGGCACTCGAGCATGGGCCGTTGCTATTGGCACGGCTGGGAATCCATATAGTTACTATAGGAATAATAGTAACTTTTATCTCTATCCCTAAAGAGCCTAGAAATATAGGTATATATATAGGGATAGATATAGGGATTGCTACTATTATAGCACTTATAGGGCCCCCTATTAATAGAGTACTCCTTAATAATTAGGGGTTGCCTTAATGGCATACTTTAGTGGATTAGTGAATTTTCTGGCGACTATTCTGTTGGTTCTTACTAAGTATTCGACAGGCAAAGGAATCTTTTCAAAAAGTTGAGACGCTCGGCCCGGTAGACTTCCATATAGGCGAGTCAAACCCATGCCCAACCCGCCCATGCGGAAGCCTTGACGCGAACACACTTATATATTGTTTGAAACTGTTTAATTCGACACTCATGGGACTGCACTGAATATATTTAGTATCTTTCCGGTATCAATGGAGACAGCTATACGGAGTATTCATTGAGAAGCTATATTGAAATCGTATACTAAGGAGGTGGGATATAGAATGGAGAACGTGAACCACATTATATAGTTATTTGCTGGTTATAGGTAGATGGTGAAAAATGATAAAATAATAGGTAGATCGTTGTCTGTGAACAAACCAATTAATCGATTAACTAGTTTATAGTAAAAGTAATAATTTTTCGCCTCCTATGGCTCGGCTGCACCATGTAACTCCACAATCTTATTATACATCATCAAAAGAGCTTCCCCATCAAAGATACCTTCTGGATCCCGTTCGCTATCCACGGCAATTTTCCACTGTCTCAAAATTACCTTGCACATTTTTTGGATAGTTTCGCTCTCATCATAGGAAGCATATATGTGGAGAAGTAGTATATCGGCGTAAATGTTCAGGACGGGCACCATTTTAGAGCCCTCAGAAAGAGTTTCGACATAGCGGAAGGGTATCCCGTAGATATCTTCAAACCCGGCGGCCCATTTGGTAAAAACGGTAGTGCGGCCACGGTTACTGAGTAGATGGCGCAAGATCGTAATGTCCATGAGTATGGACCCACCGTGAGTGACTGCATTTCTTTTTGCTCTTTGACTTGGGCCTACCTTGTGACCTGAATGTAGTTGATGAATCGGCGCTCGAAGCTCCATCATGGTCATGATTGAGGCGTCGTATGCTCTCTGAGACTCGCTCTTCGTCTCCTCCAACGCTTTTTCTGACTCTTCAACCCTTTTACGCAAGCCTCGGAGTTCTTGGAGTAGCCCAACACCATCCTGGTTTCCACAGACGCGCTGGCTTCGGTCAAAGACAAATTCTGTCGTTTGAAGGCTTCGGGCAACACTTTCTTCTGTGTCTCCAGGAATAATTTTCAGCTCTTTAGATATGATACCCTGCCAAATTTGGCCCTGTTCGATAGTGTTAGATGTTGGTTTTCGCTGAGTGGGAAGTTAACTATCTTTGAACTTGCCTCTATTTCTACTAGCGGGTCAGCCGCCTCCTGCCCTCCTGGTCGATGACGTTTTCTTGCGTGTGCATTTTCGCCCTGGGGGGAGAAACGAGGATGGACATGTCGCAGCTGTAACTCTTTCTGTGTCGTTGGAAGCCATCGTGTTGTTGCCTATTGTTTCAATATGCCGCGCGTACAATAATAACTTCACTTTGCGGGCGTCTATAGCCCCTTGTTCAGCCATTACTTACAATAACGAGTGGAATCCAGGCGGCCACCAAGGAGGCACGATCGTTTCATGCTTACTAATTATTGTAAAAATCAGAGACTTGAACGTCAAATCACAGAATCAATTTGCCTCACCTGGTATTAACGATGGTCAGGAGGGAGAAGGCGGAGGTCGGAGGAGGAAGTCGACTCTGTGTACAACGAAGTCCAATACCCCAGCAGACGCAGAGAAGAAAGCGGTTATCGGGGGAGGGAGGCCGGTCGTCACGGCAGGGCCAAGATGGTGAGTGTGAAGTCGAAGTCAAAGTAGAAGTTGAAGCCGAGGAAGTCGAAGAAGAAGAAGAACGTGATAAAAATGAACTTGATGAAGATGAGCTTGTCGAAGTCGAAGTCGAAGTCGAGGGCGAGGAAGAAGTAGAAGAAGAAGAAGAAGGGATTGTTGTGCTGGCGCGGAACAGACGCGTTTTACTTTTAAAATGGGAACCAGCAACACACCCCACAAAGGAACAACACAGGCAGGTTCTACTGACTGGGTAGTTTGATGACTTCCATGAGATTCCAAAGAAAACAAAGGAAGCTGCAAGATATCCAACGAACCAACTTGGAAACGACTCAAAATTCATGGAAGTAGGAGGTGTATATATACAGTCACCTACATATTGACCATACTAGGCATAGGATACGTCTATGTCTCTGTCGATACTAACCTGTCTTCCACTAGACAGGTTGCTATTCTGGCCGCTTGTAGGCCCAAGATCTTCCTTACTTTCATTCCCTGACTGTAGAGAGCGCAGAGGCCTTTTGAGTCCCCTGGTATGGGAATTCTAGATGTCTCTGAGGCTCTCAAGTCCGATAAAATGGTTTAATATATCGCTTAGGTATGAAACTACATTCCTGCTATTTGCAGGCAGGTCAATAGTAACGCCGAAAGGTATCTCGCTCCGGCAAAGGGGTTATATAAATTATGCCGCCGCAAAGTCTAGGAGTTTTTTATTAACCAAAGAGGTTGTTTTATATCAACTTTCCAGGATTCGACATGTTAATTGTGCAGATAGTCAAAACACTGGGTAACGGTGGCACCCTGGTCATTGTGCAGCAGAATTCCCGCGGCGACTGGTTGGCAATATCAGAACTTATGTTGCGAGAAAACATTACCGTCGCCCTGGCAACTCCATCTGAATATCCATCCAGCAGTTGTTTGAAAATGATAGCAATTCTCATAGTTTAGGATGCCTATGGAATATACGCATTGCCCTTAAATAGGTTGAATGGATCACCAACAAAAATGCCCGGGAAGATATTATAAGATCGACAAGGTCGACAGGCAAAACACTCGGTGCTCCTCGAATCTTGATCTTATAGACGAATTCGTCCACATGCTTCCCAACCAGAGAGCCTTGTTGCCTCAGCGCGGCCTTTGTTAGACTCAGTATAAATACCTTGCGCATCTGTATATACTTTTATTCGGCCTTAGACTTGCTTAGATCCAGATTAGTAGTTTCTTCGCCGATAAGTTTATTTAGTTGTTAATCGTATAATACCATATTTTGCTACAAGGGTTAAGCTTATATCAGAATATAGCTTAATTAGCTTACCGCTATATATTTGGTATTAAAAACTCTTGAACTACTAGTCTCTCACTCTAACTCTGCCTCTCTCTGTATGGCCGCCCGAGCTCCAACCGAGGTCACTAATCTATTGGACCTCGTTTATTCCATCGATCCAGAGAACCTCCAATGAAAATTTGTCTTTTAACAAAATAATCAACCTATCACAAGTCAAGGAAATTCTCAATTGGAATAACTATAATCCGTCAATAACGCTTTCACGTGACTCTATTTTCTCCCGTCCCTTCAGTTTTTTTTTATGGAGAAAAAAGAAGAAGAAAAACAGCAAAAATTCAGAAGGAGAAAAAAGGGGCAAAAGGCGGAATGGAGAAAAGGAGGCGACGGGGACGAGCAGGACGAACGAGACTCGGTGGGGGCCAAGTACGGAGTAGTTAGGGGATAGACAGCAGAGGATGGTAGAGGCTGGCTTGGAGCGTGTTGAAGGACAGTGTTGGAAGACAGACAAAGGAGCCGAGTATAGTAATCGTAGCGTCAGCCCAGCAAGGGGCCTGTCAATTGCTCTCTGTAGATACAAGTTCGAGAGCAACGCGAAGAACGGCAGAGGCACAATATAAGATTAAGCAGGGAGTCCAGTGTCTCAAGTAATAAGCAACCAAGCATTGCTTGTGTTGGTGGAAAAGACACGAGAGTCCGCCCTGTCTTGCGCTTGACCTGCGTTATAATCAACGTGTCTCCCAGCTCCGAGAAGTTCAAACACCTACAACCCTCGACCGGTGCTCCTTGGACCAGCAACCTACATCTACCAACCTCCCTTCTCCCTCTCTTGTACTCCTAGATAACCTCGCAGGCTTACCTGTCCTTCTTTTTGTCCTTCGAGTTCAGGAAAATATAGGCGCAAGTCTGCTCTCTAACCGGGGCCGAGTCGAATGAACGCCAATCGATAAATTCCGCCGGATTGAAATCCACCCCCCGGTTCTTTGCGGTGTTCCCAGGAGACAGAAAGAGACGCTGAACATGAAGCTCCGAAACATATTCCGCCTCATGGCCCTGCTGGTCGGCGCTGGTGCCGTCGACGCTGCGTTATACCGCCGAGACTACGACGCCCTCGACTACTTTGCTGTCCATCTACACTCCTCCGTCTCGCCAGCCCAGGTAGAAGAGTTACTAGGAGCTAGACATGAAGGCCAGATAGGAGAGCTGGACGGGCATCACACGTTTTCCATAAAAAAGGACAGAGGTGTAGACCTGGACGGGATACTCGAAGATCTCAAGAGAAGGTCTCTTCGGCGGAGATCGTTGGAAGTCCGTGGCGAGCCTGCCGGGACAGATGGACTGGACGGGATACTATGGTCAGAAAAGCTGGTCCCGAGGAAACGACTCCATAAACGAGTGCCTCCGCCGCCGCTCGAGCTCAGTCAACGTATACCTGAAAAGACTCCAAACCCTGCAGCCCAGTCGAGGCAGGGTGAGATTGCAAACGCCCTAGCCATACGAGACCCCTTGTTCAAGGAGCAATGGCATCTGTTCAACGCGTTTACGCCCGGAAACGATCTCAATGTAACGGGTTTGTGGCTGGAAGGTATTACTGGGAAAGGGTCGATTTCAGCCATTGTTGACGATGGCTTGGATATGTACAGCAATGATCTTAAGGATAACTACTTTGCGAAAGGCTCCTACGACTTTAACGAGATGAAAGCGGAACCTCGACCTATGCTCGATGATGATAAACATGGCACTAGATGTGCCGGCGAGGTTGCAGCAGTTCACAATAATGCCTGCGGCGTGGGTGTTGCATACGATAGCAAAGTTGCTGGAATTCGCATCCTGTCGAAGTATATCAATGATGCAGATGAAGCCGAAGCCGTCAACTATGGATTCCAGGACAACCAGATCTATTCCTGCTCATGGGGCCCAATTGACGATGGCATGACCATGGATGCACCGGGTCTCTTGGTCCGTCGAGCGATTGCCAATGGTGTTCAAAAGGGCCGTGGCGGCAAGGGCTCCGTTTTTGTCTTTGCTGCCGGAAATGGAGCAGGCCACGATGACAACTGCAACTTTGACGGTTACACTAACAGTATCTTCAGCATTACCGTGGGCTCTGTTGACTGGAACAATCAGCACCCCTACTATTCCGAATCATGCTCCGCGCAGCTGGTCGTGACGTACAGCAGTGGAAGCGGTGGTTATATCCATACTACCGATGTTGGAGCCGATACTTGTTCAGGCTCCCATGGAGGAACGTCCGCAGCCGGTCCCTTGGTTGTTGGTGTCATGGCCCTTGCTCTGCAGGTTCGCCCAGAATTGACCTGGCGTGACCTACAGTACATCCTTGTTGAAACTGCCGTTCCTCTAAACGAAACCTCCGATGGATGGCAAACTACGAGCATTGGAAAGAAGTTCAGCCACGATTTCGGTTATGGCAAGGTCGATGCATATTCCACCGTTCACCTGGCCAAAACGTGGAAACTCGTCAAGCCCCAAGCTTGGTTCCACTCGCCGTGGTTGAAGGTCTACCACAACATTCCTCAGGGCGAAAAGGGAGTGTCTACTGCTTTTGATATATCTCCCGAGATGCTCAAGGCACATAACTTGGAGAGAGTTGAGCATGTTACCGTCACGATGAACGTCAACCATACACGCCGTGGTGATCTCAGCGTCGAGCTTCGCAGCCCAAGTGGTGTAATCAGCTACCTTAGTACCGCTCGAGCTCAAGATTCTGAAAGAGCCGGATATGTCGACTGGACCTTCATGTCTGTTGCTCATTGGTAAGTCATCTCCAGGTCCGCACCGTGCTTGCCAAGCTTTATCACTAATCCTTTCTATGTAGGGGTGAAAAAGGAACAGGAGTCTGGACCGTCATTGTCAAGGATACCGTTGTTAATGATCACAATGGAACATTCCTTGACTGGCGACTTACACTATGGGGAGAGTCTATTGATCCCAAAATTCAAAAACTACACCCTCTGCCTGACGCTCATGACCATGACCATGATACCGCCATTCCAGCACCGCACGTCGGCACCGCCTCCGTTCAGCCAGGACCGACTAAGACCAGCCCTCCCTTCCGCCCTACCGACCACATCGACCGACCAGCTCGGCCAAAACCAACAAGCTCCAAGAAACCAACTCCTACTACCACTACCACTGCCACTAACACTTCCACTGCCACTGCCGCATCCGCACCATCGACCGGAGCATCAGGAGAAAACTTCCTTCCTTCTCCTTTCCCAACCTTCGGTGTATCAAAGTACACCCAGATCTGGATCTACGGCTCTATTGCCCTGATAATCGTCTTCTGCACTGCACTAGGCGTATACTTCTGGATTCAGCGTCGCAAACGCCTACGCAACGACCGCAATGAATATGAATTCGAAATGGTAGCAGAAGAAGATGAAGGCTTCCCACTCAGCGGTGCTGGTGCTAGAGGCAAAAAGAGCACTCGTCGCGGAGGAGAGCTGTACGATGCATTCGCTGGCGATAGCGATGATGAAGACCCTCTGTTCAGCAGCGAGGAGGATGATTCGAACGAATATGCCGATGCAGCTGAAGATGACGACTCTTACCATGATGAAGGACCAGAAGTCACTCCTCCCGAGTCTACCACTAAGTCATGATGACAACTGGACATTTCACTTCCCCCCCCCCCCCATTCTTCAACATTAATAGACATGCATTTCATTTCTTCCACCGGTTCGCTCAGTACGGCTTGTATTGTTTCGACTGCATGAGTGATTCCCCTTTTGTTGTCTACATCCAAGTCTACTTCTCCCTTACTTTCCTCTTTCTGTTTTCTCTAGCTGCTGTTTCTTCTTTTTTTCGTGGATATATTATACATGTAAACACCATAATTATGTTTCAATGGCGTTGGTTTCTTCTTATACAGCTTGATTCTTCATGTTCTTTTTACCAGGCTTGTTTTTGGTATACTATTTTCTCATTTTGTTGACTTTTTATGGGCATGCATTTCCCTTGCTGTATTGATACGAAGCCTCATGTCTCCATAGGATGGACTCTGAGAACCAAATATATATCGGGACTAGCTGACTTAGTGTTGGCCATTACTCATTAGATGGCAATTTTTCTACTGGGCAGAGTTAGAACCAAATACCGAGGTTGGTGAATCTCTATGGCCACTTGAAATAGAGGGAACAACAAGACCTTACTCTGAATCTAACTTTCCTAGGCCAGAGATATTCAAACCCTGGTTTTAAACCACAAAGTTAGAACTACGATTGTAGTCATGTGCAAGAGCAGCGGGAAATATCAGCAAATATAGACTCCGTAAAAAAGACAGCCCTATATCAAGTCCAGCCTATTCAGTAGTACGAAAAAAGAAAGGAAGGAAAATTTTTGAGGATAAAGATGCTCCGTTCCAGCTCAACTCGTCAAGAGGTATCTTTTTGGGCGCTAAATGTACAACAGGGAAAAGGCTATGCACGACCCGAGATAGTAGTAGTTTAGTTCTGGAAAACATCAAAGTGTTGCCAAAAAAAAAATAGTAAAGATAAGGCGATATATGATCAAACGCCAGTGTTAGTCCCTATTGCCGACACCAGGCTCCCAGACTCCAGAACAGGTGAAAATAGGAAATAAAAGAGGTATATATGTATCGCATAAACGAAGAAAACAAAGGTCAGATATGGGTCACTATCGGCTCATTAATGTTATCGTTTCCGTCAAGGAGGTCGCCTATAAGACAGGCGTTGACGAAGGTGGTAACGGCAGGCTTGGGCTGTTCGACTTCTGGGGTTGGTGAAGAAGCTACTGCCGGGAAGATATATTCAATTAGATGGCCAGCGTGTTCCCATGTGGCCCTGAGAAGTGGCCCCCAGCCCTTTCGCTGGCGGTTAGTCGCCTCTTTCTCGACTGGGACGACTTTCTCTTCGAAGTTGGTGGTTTTTACGCCGTATCCGTCATGAACGTGGCCGAATACTACAAGACGAGGTTTTACTCGTTCAATCTCCAGGCCTAAGAAAGCACAGCCGCTCTGGAAGTCACCGTCCAGATGTTTTGACGGCGGTTCGTGGGTCAACAAGACGTCTGTTCCTTCTGGTACTGCTCTTGTCCATACATCCGTGCCCCGGGGAACGTGAAATGCTCCGACACGCGAGCTGGAAGAAATAGATGGTGAGCCGTAAATTGCGACTTCGTGTCCATTCCCGTGCTCTGGAAACTGTAGTGTGACGGAGGAGTCTCGGAGATAGATGACGCTGCCGAAGTTCAGGTCACAGACAGTTCGCCCTGGCACGGAAGGATACCTGTCCGGATTGCGCTGCGCAAAGGGAGGGTCCAAAAGGACATCGTGTTCGCCGGCGACAAGAATTTTATATGTGTGCGGTTGGGCAGATAGCCATGTAAGCTGAGCCTGGAGCTCTTCAAATGTGCCGTTAACGGTCAAATCACCGGCATGTAGGAGGATGTCGCCATCTGGCAGTTCTGGCTGCCAGTTATGTGTGTCGGATATGCAGACCACTGAAATTGGGTGTTCCTGCGTGGATTCCGGTTCCGCTAGGGGTCGGTAGCTCTGCCTCCCCGAGAGCCTGGCTGTAAACGCCCGCAACCATCGGCTGAAGAAGGCGAGGAAACTGAACGGCTGCTGGCTCAGAATGAAGGCTTTGTCAACCGGCATCGAGTCGCACAATTGAATAAACCCATCCAAATAGCGAGAAAAGATAACTCTATACATATGAAAAGGCAAACGTCAAAACCAAATGTGTATATATGGAGGCTGTAGGAGCGAGGACGGGGGATCACTCAAACTCAAAACAGCATGCTTCAATAACTGAACGGAAGAAAAGGAAGAACGGGAGCAGATATAAAGACGAAATCAGGGGGAGGGGAGGGGGGGAAATCTCACAGGATCCAGGGACACATATTGGGACCGAGTATGGGTTATATATGTCTGGTATATCGGCCACAGCCCTTGACTAAAAGGGGGCGGCTGCTGCTGTGTATCCGGAGCGAAGGGAAGGGGGGTTTGGGATCGTTCCGGAGAAACAGACAGACAAGCAGAAGCAGCGCAAGGCCAGCGAAGACACACCGACAGAGAGGGTCGCATCATGGATCATGGGCGGCCCCAAAGCAGATGCTCGACCAGCTGCCCTGCCTCCGCGGCCTCCCATGGGCCGCCCTGCCTGTCTGCCTGTCTCTCTGCCTGTCTTGCTGCGAAATGCGTCGTTTCTGCGTTGTTGCTGCGTGAAGAGCGTAATATATTCCCGATATCACAATGGCCAGTTCGTTACCGACAGAGCGGTTTTCTATTTAGCTTGTGGGGAACGCCAGGGCGGTCGTATTAATAAGCTATTGTTCGCTGCAGAGAACAATAGCAACGTGCATGAGAAGGTGGCGCTAGTGTCACAATCGCCCTTTCCGCGATACGGCTGCGATACAGACGCCGTACCTAACACATATAGCACACTTTCATAGCAGATCCTCGAGCGGTGCTTCTGATGCTGCGCTTTCCGGGCTCCAGCAGGCTTTTTTTTGACTTCCTCTCAGCGCTAAATGAAACCTGCCGGCCAGCCTATCACGGGCTGCGTCAGAAAGAAGGCAGAGTTTTGGTCGCACGGGAGTTGGTGCTTAGGCTCAACTAAGTAGCTCGCCGGGCGAGAGTTTGATACTCTGATCCATCACCCGTAAAACTGCTCTCCATGCCGGTTGATCGAGTGGCCCTCTTGCAGGTGATCAGTATAATTAATGGGTATATCGCAGGCCTGGCGTAACACACTTCACACACACATACCTGGACAATGGATATAGGCATTCACGGATGCATACAGAGCCGGCCTTCACGGTAGCCAGCGAGAGAGAGACCTATCTTCTGTCTGGGCTTATTCAACCCGGCAAGGGTTTCGATATTTCCAGAGTTTAATGGGAAGTCTTGCTGCTTTGTCTGCTTCCTGCTATGTCGTGATAGTCGTTGCATCTCATATACATAAGCACAAGCTATAAATATCAGCACAGACGTCAATTCGTCGTTTCAGTGCAATAGTTCCCCACTAACGAGGATGCTGATAGCCGGTGGCCCCTCGGTTCAGGAAAGATGTGTGGTGGTAGCGTGTCTCGAGCCAAGGGGGGTCCGTTTGACCGTCTTACTACATCCCGCCCCAGGATCAGGCCTGCAGCCAGAGATGCACGTAGTGACAGAACCTCATCAATTCAGCAAGAAGCTGGTCCTTAGCTGGCAGACCCCGCATGGGATTTCATGCAACCTTGCAATTATCATCCATTGAAGGCGCTTAGAGGCTCGTAAAGATATTGTTTTACTCCTGTGGTAGTTCTATGTCTGATAGACGAAGTAGTTAGTCACCATGGAGGGCCCATGTTGACGTGGAAAAAACTTTTCCACCCTCCCAGAAGGAACGGGTCTAAGGTTCGTTTTTCTAGTCGTTATCCATGTCGGAGCATCAGCCAGGCTGCTCTCCCCCTAGTCCACTATCAAACGCCGTTAAAACCAACTCGAACCGCCATAAATAAAAGTCGAAGTTGAAAAAAGGTGAAGAAAGCTCGGGGCAGGCGCTAGTCCCGAAATGGGGAGACCTGACATCATCACATCACGTGACTGTATGCTGGCTATTTCGCCGTCAACAGCGCAGCGAAAGAAGAGCTGGCAGCGTCCGCTTCATGCTCGCCTGCTGAGGAAGAAGAGACGGGACTTTCTTGGCCGCCTATTGAATTGGGACTCCACGTATCCGCGCTGCTAGTCAGGCTTGATACGTTACTTGATATATTGCCCTGAGACGCGCCGTGAGCCTCGTGGGAAGATACCAAGCCCGGCCGACACAGGCTCCTACAATCAGCCATCAAGCTCCCCGCACACATACATCCCCCATCAGCCATGGACCACAACGATTTTGACAGTGTCTCTTGGAGGAATGACGGGGACAGCGATCCATCGCGGCCGGCTACGTCATATACAGATATCGATAACGCCTCCAGTTCGCGAGATAATCCCAATGGGAAGCGTCGAATAAGCTCCACGGGAGATGAGGTGCTCTCGCCCGTGCAAGACGGCGCATTTGCGGCTGCGTTGGATAACGGTATGCTTGAATGCACAGTAGACACCCCTCTGAAGGAGAATGAGGGTACAAAGGATGTCTATGTTTCCTACCTGGTGTCAACTCATGTCAGTGTTCTCGCCATATCTTCCGACAACTATACTTACAGATTCAATAGACCAATTTCAAATCCTTTCAAAAGACTGACTTCAGCGTTCGACGACGCTTCACCGACTTCTACTTTCTGTACAATACGCTATTTCGGGAGTATCCTGCTTGCGCTATCCCCCCACTACCGGATAAACACAAGATGGAATACGTACGTGGGGATCGGTTCGGTCCAGAGTTCACCCAGCGTCGTGCCTGGTCTCTTCACCGGTTTATCAAGAGAATTACACTTCACCCTGTCCTACGCCGAGCTCCAATCTTAGTCACATTCCTTGAATCCGGAGAATGGAATCAACACATGAGGATGCGCCCGACCCGCAGCGCCACAAATGCGTCTGACGGCGGAACTAACATCTTCGACAATTTTGCAGATACCTTTGTGAATGCATTCACCAAGGTCCACAAACCAGATAAGCGCTTCACGGAAGTGAGAGAAAAGGCCGACAAGTTGGATGAAGATCTGGGTCACGTTGAGAAGATTGTTGCGCGGGTTGCAAGGCGTGAAAGTGACCTGGAGGCTGACTACGCTGACCTTGCCGTCCAGTTCCGCAAACTTGTCCCTCTAGAACCTGGGCTAGAGGTACCTCTACAGATTTTTGCCGGTTGCGTTGAGGAAACATCTTATGGTATCCAAGCTTTGAAGGAACATACAGATCAAAACTACCTAGGTAGTCTTCGCGATATGGAGGCTTACATCTTATCTCTCAAAACCCTGCTCAAAATGAGGGAGCAGAAGCAGCTAGACCACGAGGCGTTGGTCGACTACCTCAACAAAGCCGTGGCGGAGCGCGAAAATCTTACCAACAACCCATCCTCATACTACGCCACAAACCCACTAACAAGCAGCCCTGCTTCTTTCATCAGGTCAAAGATGGAGGATATCAGAGGCGTTGATCACGAACAATCACGCCGGGAGAAAGTCCGAAAACTCGAGGTTCGAATTGATGAATTAACCCGTGAAGTTGAAAGCGCCAAAACAACTTCTGAGATGTTCGATGAAGAGGTTGTGCGCGAGGTTTCCGACTTTGAGCGTATCAAAGCAATCGAGTTCCGCGATACCCTGGGTGCAATGACACAGAAACACGTGGACTTCTACCAAGGGGTCCTGGCCACTTGGGAGCGCTTCATTGTGGAGATGGAAGCTGATGGAGATGATGTAGGTGTCAAGCATGACTTGAAAGCGAAGAAGCCTCAAGTTCGACATGCATGAATTGGGTCGCCGTTGTTCGCTTCTCTCTTTTTTTAGTTTCTGTATAGATGAAATTTGGCACTAGAGCTCCAAGGCTCTTCTTTTTGCGTGCTTACTTGGTTCTCAGTCATGACTGGCGTTATATCTTTTTGGATGGCATTTGAGCCAGAGAATACGAATTAATAGCTGCATTACTCCTTTTCAACCGTTCCTGGACATCTGCCGAATTGGATTTGATCGGCGTGTTCTTTCAACCGATCCTATCCCGTTATGATGCTTTTTTCTTTGTTTTGTCCACCGAGTAACTTACCACATCCTGCATTTCGTGCCCCATATCGAAGCATCCCACAGAATGGTGCCTAGTGTGTGATTGTACCTTGTTGACGGCCGTCGGTTAGCTGTTAACGAATCGTATTGTAGAAACAAGCCCACCACATTTTTGTAGTGGCCTACAAGAGATTTAGCACAGTGTTTTAAGTACTATCTATAAATTGTTTACCCTTCCTAGTTTTGACCGTTTTGAAGACACAATTAATCTCACCTCACTGTGTTCACATTCATCCGATCACCAATTGGCATAAGTACCAGTCTCTGCCATTTCTGCATATAAAACATGGTGAAGGCTCAGCGGTAATCCACATAGAAACGCTGCGACGGTTGCGTAAAGCAGAATACGATAACGGCGTATCTTAATGCCATATTATTCGGTCAAAGTCCTACCGAAAGACCGCATTTGGTGGTGAAGGCGCAATTCAGTGGACAGATACTTGTGTAGCAAGCACACTCTCAACCTACACAGGAGACGTAGTGCAACGAAAGGTACATTAGCCAGAAGATACGACCGCATATACAGACAAAGAGCAAAAAAAATCGTAGATGACTGCTTGCTTGCTTGCTTCTATAACTGCTGGCCTTCTACCGGGTATAAATATCAACATGTGTCCATCGTGATGGCCTTTGATTCCAATAACCATCTCTTCCAATCCAATTCAATCAATCCTCTGAGACTTATAATTTTTCCCTCGTTGCAATCGAACTGCCGACTATTCCAACATGAAGCTCTCCTGCTCCCTCCTCGCAGCTCTCGCCATCCTTGGCCAGACTGCTGTTGCTGCCGTTGCTAGTGTACCGATTGCTGCCAGAGCAGAGGCTGCAGCTGAGGCTCAAGCTGATTTGCCCTTAGCGATTATTCCTGTTAGCGGTATCTGTTATCGGGATTCCGATTGCTCCCCAGGCGTAAGACAAGCTTCACTCTCCTCCTCCTCATCATCACCACAGCTGTTACCGGAAGGCTAACTCATAATCCGTAGTGTGCGAGCATGGGCTTCAGAGGACAAGCCAGATGCCCCAGCCCTGGCAAATCAAAGTAAGAACATTGATTACTCCAGGTTATTAGATGCAGCTTCGTTACTGACATATCCGTCTAGTATCTGTCACTGTTACTAGAACGTTGGCATTCTCGTATGGCACCTTGAAATGGTATCTTGCCAATGGAGTGATGAATATTAGAATATTTAGCGGTTGAATAGGGCCTGTGCAAGCCATATCATGGCTAGAAAAGTATTTTTCTGTTGCTCTGCTTGATATATCAGTTTCAATGAATTATCATGTCATTCCAGTATGTTCGTAGTTGCTCCACTCGTAAAGGCCGTTGACGATATTTAATGGTGTCAAACCCATGTCCTTGACGACCGTAGCATCTATTAACGTGATGCTGCTACCCGTATCGAGGCAGACATGAATAGTATCTGACGGGTCATGTATATAAGCCAGTGCTGTGGTATATTGCCAGGGTCGGAATAGTTAACCGGGTGCTGGCCTGTTAGTGTCGGAACAGGTTAATATAATCACCGGTATTATATCCTTTATTGGTACGGCTAGCAAAGCCTCTATAAGTAGGGTAGAAGCGTCCTTCGTTATAGATGTATAACTAGCTACTTTAATATAGGCGTATAACTTATTTATACTTATAAAACCTCGTGCGCAAGACCTGCATATCGCGATAACCTTATCGGGGTATAGATGCAATATATATTTATCGTGCGTTACGAAAACTGTTTGGTAGTCGGTGCAATTGACTGTATCATTTACAGCAGCATTGTAGACGTCGTGAGTAAAACTGTCATATTCATAGGTTGGTGCTAAACCCATCACGATTAACGGTATCGGCCAACAGTCCACTGTAGGATATGTCAAATTCCACCTACACCTGCCGGGCTCTTTAACTACAGGCCTAGCACAGGGTCCCGCTGTCGCTCAGCTAGCCGTCGAAGCTTATATTATGCCTTAGTTAAAGGCAAAGCTCTTACTCGGCGCCGATACTCTGACCCTAGAAGGTATTATTATTAATCTACAACATAGGAAGGCCACCTTAGGGTCCTGCTAAAATTTATAGATCCTAATAACAGTTGTCACCAAGGCTTATTACTAGCAGAATAGACCTGTCTATATGGTACGTTAGACTATTATTCTACTATACTCTATAGCCCGTATCCTAGTCAAGATAAATAAGACTAACCTACCTAGTGATCGCGACTACGTCTTTAAGCCCACGTATTCTAAGGTATCACTTTTCTCCCACCTTGTGGATGACACAATAGACTATGTAGAAGCGGCTAACTACAGGATCCATATGCGTGAACGCAGCCGTTCGGGTCCAAGGAGTCAACGACTCCACGTGATAGACATGAACAGGCAAGGTGGCCGAGCGGTCTAAGGCGCCAGATTAAGGCTAACCTTAATCAGTAATAATCAGCGGTGATCACCACCCAGATATTCTGGTCCTCCTTGAGGGCGTGGGTTCGAATCCCACCCTTGTCACTTTTCTTTTCCCCCCCCCCTTTTTTTTTTTTAGCTCCGGTTGCCTGATCCAATGACTAAGGGCTGACGAAGAGCCTGAGCCCGAACCTTGATCCAACAAGGAACTTCCATAGCTTCATCTCATCATCATCATTCACATATCAAATACCAACAGCGACTGTGATAATCAACTATCGTGATGCGCTCACTACTAGGTAGCGCATTGCGCCCATATATATGCATGTCGTGTAAGCGTGGGCTTCAGGCACAGCGGAGGAGATTCGCCTCCAGTCTTTCGCAACAACCCGACATCTATGACATTGTCTGTGTTGGAGGGGGTCCAGCAGGGTTAGCTCTGCTCACAGCATTAAGTATGTTCACCAGTATCAATGGCACTTCAGTTTACAGCTTCAAATCATACATTTAGCTAATATATAATCCTTAGGATCCTCTCCAATTACCTCCAAGCTCAAAGTCGCCCTCGTCGAAAGCCAGGATATCACCAAGGCCAAAAGCTGGAACCTCGACTCTGAGAACTTTTCCAACCGTGTTAGCAGTCTCACACCGTCGTCTGTTGCATTCCTAAAAAGTATCGGCGCCTGGCAACATGTCGATTCCTCTCGAGTGCAACCATACGAGGAAATGGAAGTGTGGGATGGAGTGACGGGGTCGAATATTTCCTTCAACTGGCCCCCCGGCCTGATCGATCACGACGCTTCCTCAAAGACAATTGCGACAATGACCGAGAATGCGAATTTAATACGGGGTCTATTGTCACGAATTGAGTCCCTTGGCGAAGACGTCTCTATTTTCTCTTCGACAAAGGTCACATCTATCAATAACGGCACTGATATTCCCGATGGACCGGATCTTTCGGCCTGGCCGGTGCTCACCTTATCTCCTTCATCTTCGACGGAAACAACCAATTCTAAGCTCCCTACTATTGCCGCTCGTCTTTTAGTTGGAGCAGATGGAATTAACAGCCCTGTTCGATCATTTGCAAGTATCTCGACGGATGGGTGGGATTATGACCGACATGGTGTCGTTGCTACCCTGAAGCTCTCCCCCTCAGCAACCTCTTCATCCAGGCCGGTAACTGCATATCAGCGGTTTCTTCCAGGAATTGGTGGTCCGGTTGCCATGCTTCCTCTACCCAACAACTTTGCTACACTTGTCTGGTCAACCACCGTCCAGAACGCTGCATATCTCAAGTCACTATCGCCGAAAGCATTTACAGCAATGGTAAATGCTGCTTTCCGCCTATCCATAACAGACCTGAAATACATGTTCTCCTTACCATCTAGCCCAAACCAAACGTCCTCTGAGACAAGCTATGACCATGCAGACGAGTTATCCTGGCGACTCCAGCATACTCCTGTCCCATCGTATGTACCGCCAGAGGTTGAAACGGTTCACTCGAATACAGTTGCTGGTTTCCCATTACGCTTCCGCCATGCATCAACTTATATTTCACCTCGAGTGGCACTAGTCGGGGATGCAGCTCACGTGATACACCCTCTTGGAGGACTGGGGTTGAACCTAGGGGTCGGTGATGTAATTTCTCTCCATCGCGCGATTGAGTATGCTGTGCAGCACGGAATGGATATTGGCTCGTTGCTTAGCTTGGAACAATATGTAGCTGATAGATGGATAACTAACGCTGGGATTGGAGGAGCCTGTGACCTTCTGCATAAGGCTTATAATGTTCCTGGCTATGGGCCGTTTGCGTGGGCAAGAGGCGTTGGTCTAAACGTTGTGAATAGCCTTTCCACGTTGAAGGGGGTTATCATGAATCGAGCTTCAACTGCTTGAACACCTTTTCTATCCTGTATTATTTGAAAGTTCAAGGTATCCTTGATTGTACCAATATATATTTTACCAAGACAATTTACAGTTTCTAAATCCCACCATATCCATTGTCTTGGGCAAAACGCTGTCAAGCACAGAGTTTTTGCAGATATTTATCAGGTTTTATAAGTAGTTAAAACAAGAAGTAAAGCTTCTAGTCTATCCGCGAAGGCAGTAAGCAGAAGGTGGTATCCCGATAAGCAATAAACAATACATCCTTGCGTGCATGCACCGTTAAAAAATTCCAGAAATGCATTCAACCCTCGAAAGAAATAGTTTTAAAATAATTCATCATCTTTCTCTCTTTTCCCCACCTACAACAAATCCTTTACTTTCTGGGCTAGGTCCGCTGGCTCATCTGCTGGTGTTTCCGCAGGCGCATCAGCCTCGCTCGCCTTCTTCTCCAGCCTTTGCTTAATTTCGGTGGTAAGAGAGTCAATGTCAACCAGCACGCCTTCCTTCTCAGGGTGGCCATCTGGAAGGCCCATCTCCTTGACACGGACTTTTCCAGCAGCAAGCTCATCTTCACCTAGAATAACGGCGAATGGGATGCCGTTGGTTTCAGCAGCTTTGAATTGAGCGGGAAGTTTTGGTTTGACTTTATATGAGAATTCTGCCTGGACATTTAATGTTAGAATATGCTCAAAAAAGTAAGAAAGAAGTTTTTATATAGGCTTACCTTGATGCCGGCCTCCCAAAGCGACCTGCAGATCTGCATTCGCTCCTTGAGTAAGCCTGTGAATCCCTTGCCGCCAAACGCCATAACGTATACATCCACCTCGCTGCTTCGTAGAGCATTTGCATTGTTCTCGCGCTGCATGCGAGCCTTGGTGATAGAGAAGATTCGATCAACACCGAACGATACTCCGACACATGGTATTTGGGCCTTTGGCGAGAACATGCCGACTAGGTCATCGTACCGACCCCCAGCAGCAACACTACCGACACCAACAGAAGGATCATTAGACCTGTCCTCATCAGGGTCTGCTTTCTTGTCCTTCTTTGCGGAGCGTTGCAGGGCTTGACTCTCAGGGGCCGAGGTAGCAGTTGCGGGCGCTGAGCCTTCAGTGATGACCTCGTAGATAACACCGGTGTAATAATCAAGACCACGAGCAAGGCTCATATCGAATGAAATCTTGTCTACCACGCCAAAGCCTTCAAGGTATTCGAGCAACAAGGCCATGTCATCCAGGCCGGCTTTGGCAGAGGCGTTGGCAGTGAGTTTCTCATCTGCCAGCAATGATTCAAGGAGATCTCGTCCGCCTTTTCGAACAACATATGTCTGAATGCTATCAGCTACGGCGCCATCAAGACCCTTGTCATCCACCATCTCCTTCCTGACGTCCTCCCATGGTAGTTTGTCCAGTTTGTCCACCGCACTAGAGATGGTCCGGATCTTATCCTGAGGTACACCACACACCTCAAATAGACCGTCCAGGATCTTTCGGTGGTTGACTTTGATTGTATAGTTCCCCTTCCAGCCCAGGTCCTCAAACACTTCGGTGACAATCTTAAGCACCTCCGAGTCCGCAACCATGGGGTCGAACTGTGCACCGGCAATATCAAAGTCGCACTGGTAGAACTCTCTCATGCGCCCTTTTGTCATAGCCGGCTGATCTCGTCTGTACACCTTGGCCAAGTGGTATCGTTTTATGTTGCGCACATCCGGATTCATGGCCAGCCATCGTGCAAAGGGGACGGTCAAGTCATATCGCAACGAACATATCTCTCCGCCCTGGTCCTGCAGGTCGTATATCAGCTTCGAGTCCTCGCCGTACTTGCCCGCCAGGATTTCGCGCAGTTCAAAGACAGGCGTGTCAAGCGCCATGCCACCGTGACGCTTGAAGACATTGGTGATTGTGCTGAAGATGTTGTCTCGCAGGAGGGCATCGGGGCCAGACCAGTCCTTGGTCCCCTTGGGCGTCTTGAGGGTAAACGAGTTCTTTCCCTTGGGCGCCATGATGTCTAGCTGGTCTGGAGAGTGCGAGTGGTCGTGATATCGGCGAGAGGAAGAAGACGAGCAGCGTTGTGCGAAGATGGAGGGGTCTCTACCGGAGTTTAGAGTTGGGATGAAGGGGAGGGCTCGAACGGACAGTCGACGGCAGCCAAAAACCCGCAGAACCCGCTGGCACAGCATTCAAGACTATTGTCAGAGAGAACAAATAAAGAAGGAAAAGATGAGGGAATTGAGGGCCTTTATCACTGATTTATAGACTGCAATTCTGCCCTTGACTCATATTTTTCGTGTAGTCAAACAGCCATGTACACGGAGAATAGAATCTCCGCCAGAAAAATCGCTGCCAAAAAAAGAGATTGGAAATAAAAATGAAAAGAAATACGCTCCCTAGCGGGGAATCGAACCCCGGGCACGAGTGTGAGAGACTCGGATGTTACCTCTACACCACTAAGGATGGCTGGATGGAAGGGCGAGGCTGTGCTGCTCTATTAAGGGTAGTAGCCACCAACAGCACTCATCCCCGGGTCTGTGTCTATGTAGATGCACTCACTGTTGACTGGGGGGAAGAAGGTAAAGGGGAAAAAAAACCATTTTCATGATAAACTAGTTTTCCTAGTCATGGAGGAAAAACATAGATGGCTGGGGCTTCCTTCTTGGATATCTCAGGGCTGGGTAACTACTGTTGCACTTGCAGCTTGTGCAGCACTATGTCCAAAAGCTCTACCTCGCATGTAGGTACACAACTTCGGAGTGATATCTCGAAACATTTGCTGCCTACTATTGATCTACAGTCACGTTCCTTAGTTTTAGGAAGCAGCTATCAGTAGATGCTGGGAAACTACATCAAGTTACAATATAGGAACAAGTTGCATGGCGAAGTACACTATGTATTGCTTGTATATTAACTCCAGATGTAGTATATTAGTATATAGATATACCCACCATCAAAATCGATAGCTTACTGCTTTATTGATTGAGAAAATGAGCTTGAGGTAAAGTAAAGCAGCTGACTTTCTTCTTGTCGTTTACTTTGGTATTTGCTACTTCTATATCTACTTCTAAAGACGAATTTCGTATCCATAACTATAGCTATACGAATGCATGTCAGCAAATCCAGCTAGTAGCATACCCTCATGTTTATTGAACCATAAGGAAAGGCCCACCATTGCCTCGATATAAGACGAGTATCTATGGATGTATCTGGTGTAAGATATAAATACGTAGGCAGTAGAGCATTCATACGTGATGTCTTGACACAAGCAATAGCCTATTGCATATTTAACCTTTTATTGCCTGTAAGAAACAACTTACATAAATGAAAAGTCCTTAGTGGTGTAGAGGTAACATAACTCTCTTTCACAGAGTCGCCCGGGGTTCGATTCCCCGCTAGGGAGGAATTCTTTTTTGAAAAAGCATTTTGCAGGCTCACTTGGTCGCTTGACTCCAGCCTCCCATTTTACCGCGAGAGTGGAGACAGACATGTCTTGGCATGCATTTTTTTTTGACTTCCGACATTTGAATCTACCCACTCCGTTCATCTGCTATTTTGGCAAGCGTTTCCCACAACAAGCCATCCTTAGTGGTGTAGAGGTAACATCCGAGTCTCTCACACTCGTGCCCGGGGTTCGATTCCCCGCTAGGGAGTACATTCAACTTTCACTTTTTTGTCCTTTAATTCTTCTCGTCAGTCAGTACGTATCTACATCGATCATGACATTTTCTTTTTTGGTCTGCATAACAAAAGACTGGTGTTGTATCACTATCTACCTTCTGCAAGCCATTATCCGCCATCACACTATCATCTCCTCAGTCTTGATGTATAAAGATGGCCATATTACAATTCTTTCAATATAGCAATCAAGCCCTAGCGAAGATGTCGTCCACGTGATGTACTTAAAATCAACGTCTTCGGGTTGCGAGACCATAGACATGATGATACAAGCATTCTACAATATCGTGCATAATGTACTTTGTACTTTTGTGAATGATCTTTAGCATATGCAGGACGTATTATTTTCTCTCAATGTGCTATCTGTATGTGTTATTTGTTGTTCTATCGTAGGAGGGAACTGAGGGTGAGAGACAAAAATTACATGATCAGTTAACTGGCCAAGGGGGAAAAAAAAAGAAGAAATTTCTCCCTAGCGGGGAATCGAACCCCGGGCGACTCTGTGAAAGAGAGTTATGTTACCTCTACACCACTAAGGATGGTTGTTGTCTGACCTGAGCATCAATTTTTTATATTCCCTCCTCCCTTGTCGGTGATAAATTCAACCACCTCCAAACATCACAGCTATATATAAAATACTTACATAAGGAGTACCCCTTTATGTTTTATGCGAGCTCTTGGGTAGGAGGAATAAACATGACCCTACCAGGACACGCTCTTGTGTCTCGCAAGATTATCAACGGCCTGGTCTCCCCTTCCCTACAAGTCCAGCTCTTCGGCGTTGACCTCACCCTTGAAAGAGTGCTGACCTGGACCTCTGCCGGCACCGTCGACCTTGACAACTCGCCACCGCCAACCAGTCTCTACGAAGGAAATACCCTTTACCAAGATCAAATCTAGCTCCAGCAGCAGTGGCGGAAAAGACGACGACAATGACGACGATGATGACCATCAAGCAGTGATATAGACCTGCCACCTGGCTCGTATCTGGTCGAGTTCAACGAAACGGTCTCGGTGCCGCTGGATGTGATGGGTCAGCTGTTTGTGCGCAGCTCGCTGTTCAGGTCTGGTGCGCTGCTGAGCGCTGGGGTGATGGATGCCGGGTATACGGGAGCGGTGGGCGCGATGTTACAGGTGGTGAACCCGGCGGGTCTGCGAGTGTATTGGGAAGCGAGGCTGGGCCAGTTTGTGTTCCACCAGATGAGCGAGCCGGTGGAAGGGTATGACGGGGTGTATCAGGGGAGTACGAGGGTCGGTTAGAGAGGAGGCACGATAGGATGGGTCGAGCTGGTGAGGGTGTTGGCTTACTTTATGACAACGAGAGTGATGGACATAGAT